TCTAACATTTTATTGAAAACTATTCTGAATCATAGGTATCTAATATGGTGGAGCATTTCAGCAGATTTTTTACCATTTAAAATGTTGGTATGAGGGTAGGCAAATTACAGGGAAAGAGTGTTAATGCGCAAAAAGATGTGAAAAGAATGTGAAAAAAACGGTGCTCTGAGTTATGCAATTAAACCTAGTGACAAGCTCTTAACTCACTAACTAAAAGAAGCAGTTGAAAGCTTTCTAAGCTGTACAAGTGAGATAAAGATTTAAGTAAATTATCTAAAGAAAACATTATTTGGTTTGGCTCTTATGGTAGTCGAGCATAATGAATAGTCACAACATAACCAGCACTCCAGCAAGGTGCACTTAGACCTTCTATGACTCTGTTGTGGCATCAGCCATCTTCTATGGAGCTGTCTGTTGGAGCAGTGGCTTATCTGTAGCTGAGAGAAAGCGGCTGGAAAAGCTGATCAGGAAGGCCAGCTCTGTGATTGGATGCCCTCTGGAGATGAGAAACAAAAGGATCCTAAATAAATTAATGGTTCTGTTGGATAATGTCTCCCACCCCATGCGTGAAGCTGCTGCAGAACTGGAGAGCTTCTTTTACGATAGACTGCTGCAACCAAAATGTACCATGGAGCATTATCACAGATCCTTCCTCCCAGCAGCTGTAAGACTTTGTAAACATCACTGTTCTCAACAACCTCAATAAGTTGTCTTAATTTATGCTGAATTTTGCACAGTTTCTGTCTTAGTCAGTTAAATAACATGCTGCTGTCATTTTTTGCACATCTCTGGTGTTTATGCTATTTTTCACATATCCATTACTGTAAGAATTTCCACAGCTGTTATTGATTTTTTTATTCTCCAGATACAGAGTATTATATTGTAAAACCACTGTACAGTACAATACTCTATTTGTTTGATTTTCCTATCTGTTATTTTTATACACTTTTTATACACTTTTCCAGGGTGCATATTGTGTGACCTCTTCTAATTTTACCTTTTGCTGCTGTAACACCACAATTTCCCCATTGTGGGTTAATAAAGGGATTATATTTTATTCTATTCTATTCATAACAACAAAGATGCAGACCCAAATGCAACCCAAGATGCAACCCAATGTAACTTTTATGACAGCTGCTAATGAAAAGGTTGTCAAGTCTAAAAAATCAACAAAAAAGTTGGAAATCTCTGACCTTGTTTGCAACAATCTTTGTCACCGTTTCTCTTTCCGATCTGGTCTGAAAACAGGCTAAACATGTAAATAAGGTAGCTGATTTAAAAAAAAAAAAAAGCATAAAATTGATGGGAATATTTGTTAAACGTGGCCATGTAGGAAACGCGGAGATCACTCTTTCACCCGGGAGGTCTGAGCCTGCAGCAGTAGATGATGTTAACTACCACAACTGTTATTACATTTCTGTCTTAACATAGAGCACAATGCTTTGTTTACTCAGAGTTAAGTCAACACATGTCCATGCTATCAGTAGCATCTCAATTGTATACAGTTTAATTGTTTTTCCACAAAGTATCATTCTAATCCACCTCAGCTCAGCGTGGCCTACTTCACTGGTTAATGATGGACAAAAAAGCCACGTTGCTTCGACAGTCCATAGTTTTGAAAATGACTAGTCTTGGTTCATCCTTGCAGGCTGTTGCATCTCTGTTCATTAGTTACTGTTGTGCATCACAGGAGAACAGGAAACAGGAGAGACAAAAGGAACCAATAGCTGCATACGTCACACCCCTGGCAGGGGAGAGACTAGTAACTGAAAGAAAACAGACACCAGCTTGAAGTCAGACGCTCTTTTACCCTTCCTCTCCATTTCTCTTGAGTCTCTATTAAACATAAAACTCTGCCTAGTGCAGAAGGACCTCCTATTAGGCCTACAGCCCTAATGTCAAAGTGCTGAAGTGGAAACCAATTATACTGCTTTTGTGTGGTAACTTTTTTATCCTGGCTCACACAAAGAAGAAGAGGAAAGGTTTCAACAAAGATTAACTGAAAAACTGACAACAACAAAAAAAGAAATAAAATTAAAGAAACAGTAAGGAATCTACTGGTATAGTTAGGTACTGTGAGGTTAAATGTATAAAATGATATGCCTTTTAGAAATACTGTATGTGCTTAGAAATAAATACGGTAATGATGGGGTCAATGCTATGTTTTTCTAACAGAACGAATACAAAAATGAGGATTTCTTTAGAATAATTTGTGACCTTGCAAAGTTTACAGAATGCATTATAGGAAAGCTGAAAGTAGCCTACACAGTGAACCCATGAATTACAAATTGCTGAGGTTAAGATGTAAAAATAAAAAACAAGTTCAGAAGAACAGTCAAATAAATAATAAAAACTACATTTCAAAATGCATAAGCAAATATAACATAAGATCTGTCGAAGAGTAAGATCAAAAGGCAATTGCAACAAATAGCAGGCTTCCTGGGAGCGTTTTCTGAATGCTGATTGGCTTTCGTTAAGGTGGGTTCAAAGCTGATTGGCTGTGTCGCAGGTGGATGTAGGAGAGCAATCAGTTTCTTCAGTTGAACTTCTGTCTAGGCTCCATAATACCTGGCACTGAGGGATTGCACATGCTATCTTGCTAATACACAGCGTTTGTTGCATAAGAGGTAAATATCACAACTTTCCCATTTTAATAACAGAAACCCCCAATAATATGAACTGTAACAAAGGCAGGTATAACAGAGAAGAAGATTGGTGTGAGTGTGAATACAGAGATCGATTAAACAAGTAGCCTAGTTAAGAAGACTGCAATTCTCTACTCTATAACCACAGCTCTGCCACATTTACAGCACAAGGAGCTGTTCAGATTCAATATACATCTAATTACCAGATAAAAATACGCATACAGCATGAAAATAAAATATATGACTCTTACCAGAGATGCGGATTATTTAGAAACAAAATGCATCCTTCTGTCTTTGTGCAGGAAGTCTTAGTATCTCCATTTAGTATCAGCCATTAAGGCCAGAAAAACTTTCAACAAAAGCAAATCTAAAATGCAGATTGTCACTAGCTTAACTTGGCTGTAAACAATTTTTGTTCTAACTGGCCAATCAGAGTACAGATAATGCTGACATTCGCATGGCCCGCTTGCTGGCCCTGTGGTGCACATCTGAAATCTGATTGGTTGAAGAAAACGCTCCTCACTTACGTTATTAATGAAACATCAGGCAGCACAGCTGATTTCATTGGCATAGCAACGCACTAAGGCTGAAATATGACTGGACAAAAAATATAGCTACTACTTAAATGTACTGGAAGCAGAGCAGCCAAAAGAAATGTAACAAAATCAAAATGATGGATTGTTTGCAATTAATGAATGCAGTTGGATTAAAGAAAATTAAAATTTAGGTTGTGAATGTAGGTTAGTGTTTTTCGCCAGCAGTGAAGGCATTGAAGGCACTGACCGCCCACCACTGAATACAGGGGTTGAATCATTTATGCCATTTCTCTTGATGATAAGTTGATGGCAACATAAAACTGTGTCATGCAAACAAAGGAGAGATGCTTTATTTAAAAAACTGTTAATCCTGCAGTCACTGATTGTTATCATGGTCAGAGGCAGATACCATGACCTTTAAAAAAAACAACAACAAAAAAAGATCCATGCAGTAGGTCTTGACACATCAAATCAAGAACAGCAAAATGAGGAGACTAACACTACAAGGTGACTACAGTTCTGATTGATAAGATATAATAAATTATTTTAGGCTGCAGGAAAGGACCTGTTGTTCTGGAGTGTTTCTTTGTGACTCTTTATGGACATGTACACAGGACACACTACAAGATCTCCACATCACCCAGGATCTGAGGGAGCTAACAAGTTGCAGAACACCCTGACACAGTGGTGTTATAAAGCAACTCCCCCCACACACACATTCTCGCCCACCCCCTACCCAGCCAGCTGAATCCACAAGCTTTGATCTTCTCCTGTACAAAGAGGACAGATGTATTCTTGTCCAGCAGTTACAGTCATGGATGTAAGAATAAGGGACCAGATGCTATACCCATCAAAGTGCATTATTGGTATCGCTATTCTTTCTGTTCATATCAAATATCATAACTTTATTTACAGTTAGCCACATAAACAGGAAGTAAAATCAGTAAAGATTCGTTTTTGTGGCATAAGATAGTCACTATACTGTGAGAAGCAAGTTGATCTGCATTCTTAGTGCTTTTTCAGAAAGACTGCAACATAAAGTCTGCTTTTTCTGAACAAACATTAATAAAGCACAATTTTGTTTATCTACTGCCAGGTTTTGATAAATCTTTTTACAATTAGTAAAAAAAAATGTTTTTTTTTTTCCTTGTTCGGACTTATGGGAAAGATCATAATGTCCGATTAAACCAAGAGGTTTTACTTGATGGAGTCATATTACTACAACTACATACAGCAACATATGAGAAATTATGAGAATTATTATGTATGTATATGGCAGTACTGAAGAAACTCTTCAACAGATCAAAGAAAAACAGCAAAAGATGCAAATTACTATCACCAAGATAAATCCTTTCTAAATCAGCTCCCAACATAACACCTCAAGGCATCTTTTGTGGAGAAGGCAGGTTTTAAAGAGGAGACCAACAACTGCCCATACCTCACTGAGCTCATTTTATTTCGATCAATTTGACAAAGGAATGGGGAAATAAATGACAAACGTGGCAGATGAGGTGGTAGGTTCTTTAGACATATTCATAGAATTGTTAATATTCAAAGAAACTAATCGGAGCTGGTCAATATTTAGTAACATTAATCTCTATTCTAATAGTTATGCCCTCTGCTTTGGACTGGTGACCTATCCAGGATGTACCCCGCCTATTTTCCATAGACTGCTGGAGATAGGCACCAGCCCCACCATGACCCTGATGGATCAAGTGGGAGAATGCCTTGTGCTGAATCTTTGTTAACTTAAACATAACTCTGGGCATTTCTTAAGATGATAGATAACTGGTGCAGTGTTTTATGGCAGCATCCTTACCTTTTCCTGGTATTGCCGCCTTGAAGAATCCAGAGACTGGATGAGTGCGGTCGCATGGCCAATGAACATGGCGTAGCATGTTGCTCCCACGATCATACTGAGCATGGTCAGCCAGATGTCCGACATGCTCTCTGGGGCTTGTCTTCCGTATCCAATGCACAGCATGTGGCTCATGGCCTTGAAGAGGGCAAAGGAATAGAGCTCGCTCCATGAATCATTCTGTGGGAGAGAGGGAGAAATTAGTTAGAATGAAACACTTATAATTTTTGGTTTAATGTTAAGTGACCCGATGTGATGATATGTCATGCTTAAATTCCCTGAGAAGGGGGAAGTAATAGCGTGTACAAGTGGGGCTGAACTGATGAAAGAGAAGATATATTAAGAAAAGAGAGGTTTTAATGAGTGAGAAAATTCTGATAAAGTCTGAGGCTCTGTGTTAGTACTTAATAGCTCAGGTTTCTTAGAGGGTCTAATCATCATCACTGAGCGGCCTTGCCTTGTCCTGGCCATGCAGAAGATGCAAGAAGAGAGTATTTAATGAAGAGCCTGTACTGCTTCTTCATTCCCCCTTTGATTGGTGCTCACACACTCATTCAGCCTCAATTCCCTTCTGTTGGACTCATTAGATAGCCCTCCACCAGCACCAGGGGGACCTCACGTCCCCTCTTCAAACAGCTGCCGGTAACACGCAGCCTCAAGGTTACTTATGTGCAGGATGGGCCCACCCTCAGTAACTCAAAGGACCCCTTAGTTGTTTCATTTAGTCATTTCCTATCAGATTTGTGTTTTCCAGCCTTGTTTGCATTAAATTTGAGATTCAAATGTTGGTGGTTTTGAAGCAGGAGTAATAGCATGCATTTTAAGGGGCCTGCAATCAAATTTCTATCCAGAGAGGTGATTTGAGTTTCTGTAGGAAAAAGTTGGTGCTTGGACTTCTGCAGCAAAAATAAATAAATAATAATATTAATAAGTCTCTGGCAGGCTTTGAGACTTCAAAGCTAGGTTGGTTCTTTCAAAGCTGATGGAATAGTAGGTTTAAAATGTTTAAAATTAAAAGTGAATTCACTGTAATCTTTGCTTAGTTACTATTAGATATTTGCTTTATTTAAAGAGAAATTTGCAGCCAGAATTTGGACACCTTGTTCCAGACAGAGGCTCACTTATGCTACCCGCAAGTTGCGAGAGATGTGAAATTACTATCGGTATGGTGCCACATTACTGGTGGATTTAAAGTCAAGATTAGGAACACTAAGCCTGAGAGAAAGTGCAGAAATATATCTCCGGTTTCAATCGGCTGCATCTGTCTGTCTCTATTTCAGACTTTATCAATTTACTGTCCAGCATATAGATTTCAGAGCAAGGTCCAGGCACAAATAAGTGCACAGTAATAGAATGAACCCTTTTGTTCTACTGGGGTCTGTTTTAAATGTATCCAACATGACATATCAAAAAGAACAGATTTCTTTTTCATAAATTGGTACAATTTTAAAAGGGAACAGAAAGAGACTTGCATTTCGTTGGGGTTTTTGGGAAAGTCCAAAGAACAAATCATTTAGTTTTATTATTTTTTTCTTGTATTCCTAGAAATCTTTTTATTGAAATCAAGGATGGTGTACTTACTAATTTCATATTTCCATTCCAATGTTGTTACAAAGCACCAAATGAAAACACTCAGTCTTTCAAAAATAATAACTTTCCTCCAAGCTTGGCTTATTAAAAGCACAGCAAGTATTGAATCATTTGAAAAATGTTGTCTGAACTAAGCTCTATGATTGCATAATTAAACATTTTAATTAATTCATGATCATTTACCTTTTAGGAACGACGAAGCTTCTCTGCACAAAAATATGACGATATAAATTGATGAAAATCCTGAACTTTTCATTTATATGTGACAGTTTGCACATAAAACCCTCTAGCCAGAAAGACCAGCTGCAATGAGTCCATTTGTGTCTAAGTTTGAGTTAACAGCTGATTAAATCCGACAGAGTACACAGCTGTCTCTTACTGTAGGAAATTACAATCTTCAGACTAACACAATAAACCAATTCTACAGAGATACTACCTTGTATGAAGGCAGGGGCAGGGCAGAAAAAAAAACAATTAAATTAGCTCTTGTGTTCATTTTATTTGCTATCAGTCTTCACTGAGCTGCACAGATGATGGCTAATTGTACATAATATACTTAGGGAGGAACACAAAGGGACTTTGGGACATGGATGATGTATGATGCCGTCGTTCTTGGATAGTGTCTCTACGTGCATGCTGGCACACTTGTCTGGGCGGATGCTCTTGACTCTAAGGATCCATTTACATATGTGGGTATTTGACTATGTGCCCACGAGTCTCACTTTAATGGCCAACACTGGAACTGTGTTTGACTTCAAAGGACACATATCTGATATTTTTATATGGAAACTTCAATAAATTAACTTGTTCATTGGTTGTTTGTTCCATGTTTATGTTTATATTTCCAAACTAAATGGATGAAGTAGATCCCACGATAGCCTCCTGTACACCAGATTTTTTAATTATTGAGAATGTTACATAGAAAAGTAACAATGATGTTAAAGTAAGTACCACAACATAACTCACCATGATTGCCAAAGTAAATACGGAACTAATAAGAAATTCATTACAAGAAAATTTATTTTTATGTACAGAGATACAGATATAGTATTTATAGCTATTTATGCTAAATCTAAGCAGAGCACAATGTTTGTGAGGCATTGTAGAGCAAAAAAAGAAAATCAGCTTTCAACACCAACAAGAATTAAACATCCTTTTCTTTTATTTCATATCTTTATACCTAAGTGACATCTTGTCACTCAGATGCATTTCTGCCGAATAAAGTGAGACAAAAAATGCAAGAGGTAAATGGATAGATGCATCAAAATATTGAGCAATCCTCATTGCAGCCTGACACCTAAATGTTCAGATTTTAACAAGATAATGAAAACAGAAACATAAAGCCATGGAGCATCAAGTAAAGTTTATAGAAAACAAATGTATTGAATTATCCCTAAATAGAAAAGCAATCACTGAGCACTGTTATTCTCCAACTGTAAAGAAACAGGAATTACTTCACAAGCGTCAGTATATTTCAGCATTGTGTTTTAACATTTTTTTGACAATTTTATTTTTTTTGTCAGGTAATAAAGCCTTTTAAACTGTGTTTTTCTTTAGGAAATTAGATTATATGTTTAACAGTAAACAGAAATACAATATTTATCCTTTTGACTAAATTTCTGGCAGGAAGCCATCACTTCCACAGATACACATCAACGCCATAACACATATGTCTTACATTTTCTACTTATTCACACCTACACTGTCAAGCCCTCCAGGCAGTCAGATCACCTCAGTAACTGAGAAGATCCTTATTAATATTGAAAATCTTAAAGCATTTTTAAAGTGCTTCCTTGTGTGACTGATTAAACATTGATGCATAAACAAATTAGCTGTTAAGAAACTCTCCTTATGCATTATAAACTCTAGGTTTGTTGGTGTTGCAAACAGACTGAGGGTAGGGGTGGGGGCGTCAACCGCATAAGTGTTAGGTGGATGTTTTGCAGATTATGTAAAGCACAAAAGAGGCAAACCTCCAACTTGTGTGGCGTTCCTCATCTCTTATAACTCTGACAAAGGGGAGTTTACGGGAGTGGCGTACTAGTGGTTATGGCATATAGCTTGGAATCCTGAGGTTCTGAGTTCGAGACCCACTCCCACAGACTAACCCTAACCCACAGACTGCTACTCTAAGCAAGGCCCCTAACCCCTGATTGCTCCCTGGGCAGCCCACGAAAGTAGCCTACTGCTCCCCAAAAGGATTGGGTTAAATTGCAGAGGTAAATTTCTCCAATGTGAGATCAATAAAGTAAAAAAATTAAGCTCAGATAATTGCCACAGAAATTAAAGAAGTGAAAGATACTAAAAGTGAGGATTAACTAGTTGAGCTTAAAAGCATTTGGTAGCTATGGAGGAGCTAAAGAGTTCTGAGAACCAGATTAAGCCATGTAATGTAAATATCTGGTCTTATCGGGGAAGACGAGATATGAAAATGGCTTTTTTTTAGAAAAAGAAGTTGCAAAGCAGCCATGCTGGATTTTGGGAGGAAAGTTTGTGAAAAACATGTTTTCCTTTGACAGAATTTAAAATTCAACTTCCACCATTTCTGAAATCTTTTTCTTTAACAGACTTGATGTATAAACAAAGTAAAAGTCAGTTGAATCTGCACAATTGAACTGATTAAGGGAATTGCATAATCAGTTGATTGTTTAATATATATATTTTACTACAACACAGCACAATATGTATTTAAAAGAACATTTGAGCACTACTTGTTTGGTTTAAAGTCTAGTTATTTGTTAGCATGGCCTAGTCAAAGTCTAGTTTAAAATGAATCTGAAAAGTTACAGCAAGTTTTTAAAAAATCCATTCAAATTGAATAGGATGGGTATAACATTAACATTTTCTTTTACTTTACCTTGCTATAAATTCAGTTTCTGTATTCATGAAAAAATGTTTGTGGTTTTTATTTTGGTAAAACAAGGAAAACCTTCAACAGTTAATAGCACTTTTCCAAGGGACTGCACTGTATGTGACTACAGAGAAAGTCTTTGTGCCATTCAATGACATTTAACACACAAATGTCACAGAGCCATGTGGAAGATGACCCTCCTGTGATACTGAAAAACCTCCACATCAGCACAATGCAATATTGAAAGCGGAGTTGAATACCAATAGAAATCAAATATTACCACAGCCATATAAACATAGAAAACAGCCTCAGATTCTGAGGCACAAGCCTTGTTAAAAGACAACAAAGCAGAGAATTCTAAATGTGTTTCTTGGAGGAGAAAAGAGTGGACTGACAAGAGATGATGTCCAAGAAGGTTAGTGACCATTCAGAGACATTTCTTTTTGGTGACCTCTTCTTTTCTCATAACACATCCCTTCAAGCAAACAACATTATGTCATTGGCCATTGTACTTTTCAGCAGCTAGATGGTGTTTAATTGGTGTGCCAATAAAATGAGGTGGCATCTGAGCAACTGGGATGTTGGGATAACAGGGTCAGGGAAAAGACGAGAAGAGTCTGGATCTGAGAAAAGCTTCATAGGAGGAATTATCTTGTCTAATTTACGTTAGTTTTTCTGTCTGCAGGGATGTGTCATTATCTTGGTGCCGATTCACCTGCCTAGATTCACCCAGTTTCTTATTACTCATCTATGGTACCTGCTCCAGTCTCTAGAATATTTGAGGCCTTGGTGAGAGTCTTCTTGCAAGTAACAGTTTTTTTCTGATTGCCTGATCCTGACCCATTCGGCCTGTGGACCTCTGAGCCTGCCTGTTTTCATTCTGATCTGTTTGCTTAACCTGTCATAGGACACCTCCTGGATTCTGCCTGTTGACCGAGCCTGGAACTGCTTCCTGTCACCGACCTGGATTTCCCTTTGGAACCTCTTCGGATCTCTGATCTTCTGGCCCAGACTCCTAAACCTCTTCGACATCGGCTTTGTCCTCTGGATTGTCCTGTCTTCCTTTGTCTGCTTGGATCTGATCTCCTGACCAGTTTGCAGTCTTCAATAATTCTTAAGCATCCAAACTCTCTGGTAGCATTTGCCGCATGCTGTTGGCAGCCGTCCCGCTGATATCGACCTTTTCATTTAGACATGGACTGAACTTTAAGACTAGGTTAGTGACTCACACGTTCTTAATCATCCTCCGCCAGATTAACGTGGTCCCTAACCTGTGTTTTACCTCTGCAGAGGTTCCTGCCTTAGACGCCCTAGCAGTCCGCTGCAAATAGGTCATTTTTTAAATAAATGCTTTGTGAGAAATCTAACTGTCTGCCTTGAATACTGGGTCCTCTTTTCTGAGTCGTGACAGGGATGACCATGCAGGATGCACTATTTGATTCTAAATAATGTTCTTCACCCCCATTAAGGAGTTGCTTTATTTTCAGTTATTACTGGGATATTTCCCCTTTGCCTGCCGCTCATCTACAACATGCTTCACTCCACTTATACTGTTTTAACTCAAGGCTCTTGTTAGCTGAATTCTCTGTTTATAAATGTGACATAGTTTATAAAGATTTAAATGCTGCAAACTGAGTGTCACACCATGCTGTCACTTGTGTCGCTGACACATCCAGACTTTTGACTGGCCTCCATGTCAGTCGTTAGGTTCCAATGTTTTACCTCCAACAGATCTGATTAGATTTTAAAGCCAAACCAAACCACAATCCCAAAGGCTTTGAATTGTTTGCATTTTATTTTGCATTTGAATCAGCATCTATGATTCATGTAGCCCATGATTCATGTTCTCAGTGCCTTGTATGATGAAGGAATGACAAACATGCTAATGCAGTCCTGATGGCTGGAGGGAAATGCCAGAAATGAACTGAATAACTGAACCATTTAAAACAGTCTTCTAAAATAATTCATAGAAATTAAGAATTCTGTTACACAATAAAATAAACAGCTAACCCTAAAATGATAAAACATGAATGGTCGCATTGTTCTGATTTAAAGGAGGTTTTAGTCATTGCAATATGCAATACACTGTGGTTTGATGACCGCACCCTTTCTCAAACTGCATATCTGCTTAGTTAAAAGCTTTTCAAGTATCTCAACAGTTTAACTAGTTGCTTTTCAGCCTGTGAAGATATCAATTTTATTTTCTACACACAAATTAAAGAGAAGAAAAAACCCAAAGGAGAATTAAAAAACCAGCATTTAATGGAACTGCTTTTTTTCACCATCTCCTGTCTTCCTTATGGGTGGGTTTCTGTTTTAATGAGAGGAGTCCAGCACCTGCACATGTGTGAAAGCCCATCGTTGGATGAGGGTTATTTTTTATTTTTTGTCTCTATTTAACTCAACACATTTTTCCCATTGAGGATGTTTTCAATGTTTTGATTGCTGCTGATTTGCTGTCTCAAATTTTCTGGTATGAGCTCATTAGAAAGCACCATAAAACTGCTTACCACCATCTTGTTAAGTGAGACCCAGCAGTCAGATGGAAAGTCCTGCAGCATGGGAACAAGGAACTGCAGACAGCCGTCCCAGTGGCACAGCAGCAGCATCATCGCGATCAGGTTGATTATTCGCATCACAGCGCTGGCCAGGTCGTAGGTCATGTGGAAGATCTGTCAGCGGGAGCAGAGATGGAGAGAGAGTTTACACGACTGGAGTGTCAGGAGGGAAAGCTGTGCTATATGTGATGAGAATTAACTATCAATGTTTAAACAAGCACAGTCACAGCTCAGAAGATGGCAAACAGGACCAAATTTGCTTTGACTGCACATCCAGTTTGGTGTAACACAGCAACAGTTTGTCAAGCTTTACTTTTAGCAATATGGCCCTTATTTGACAGTTGGGGAAATTCTGGTTAACTCTGTGAGATAGATGTTAATTAACAAGACAGCTTGTTATGACTAAAAAGCTGGAAAGGTGTTTTTGAAGCAAAAAGCAGTATGTCCTCAGTAATACTAGTAATACTATTAGTGTAGCTTATAGAACACAAGAAAAAAAAAACTCTGCATCAAGTCCTTCCTTCCTTCCTTCCTTCCTTCCTTCCTTCCTTCCTTCCTTCCTTCCTTCCTTCCTTCCTTCCTTCCTTCCTTCCTTCCTTCAATATCCAAAAAATTCCTAAATTGACCTAGAATGTACATATTGATAGAAAACAAAGCAAAAAAACAAAACATAAAATCACCTGACGATTAATTATGTTTTTCTCACATAATCTTAAATGACTGCTTTACTGGCTGGGTTTCCAAGAAAAATAATATATAAATAAAGGAAAAGATATTTATGTCATGTTGCAACATGGTGTCATCAAGCTTGGAATTTTCTCAAAGGCCGACACTTTTTAAATGTGACATATTTCCTTCTGTTATAATGCTTTAGGAATTTGAACTTGGCCTATTTGAAACACATAACACGTGTCATATTTAACATGCTATTATCATCTGGCAGAAGTCTGAGAAGTCATAGCCATTGCAACATTAAAGTCTATATTCAAAAATCTACTAACCAGGTTTACATCCAGGTAGAAAAGTACTTAGAGCTAAAGTGATTTCTTTCCAGAAGTAAAATGTTATGAATATTTAAGAAAGAAGTTTGGATTCTGGAGATCATCTGTGTGTCCTGCTGCCATTGTTTTTGAGCTCCAGGTAAGAATTTGGTCTTAGGATTAAAAACACTAAACAGTTCTGTCTTCTTGGCTGTTGGCCAGGCTGTGTTTTCATTATGCCTGTGGGGCCAATATTACATAGTGTGAAATCCTTATTTAACTGGGCCAACTGGAGGGTTACTATATTATAGGTAAAAGAGTATTTCCTCAAAAGGTAAAGGGTGGTATCAAACATGAAGAAGTAGGCCAGGCAATGTATGTCTGCTTTATAAGCGTATACATTTATGCATGCCTTAAAGCCCCTGTTTCATACAGCCAAGCTGATGGTTTAGTTATTTCAGAGTCCCACAAGATACATGAAAACCATCTTACATGCAAACTAGGCCACATGTCTGGTGATGCAAAAGAGCATAATGTTAGGAATTTTATGGCTTGGGAGAAGCTAGGTCTGGATATTCTGTAACTCCTGTCATATCAGAGAACCCGCCGGCAACCACTTGCAGCTGGCTGGAATACTAAACATACAATCATATTCTTCTCTGCTTGTTAATGTAGTGAGATTCAGAGCTTTGGACAAACCCATTGTTTCCTGGGCATTATTCTCACAATATTTGTTTTGCTATTAGGGATGCATGTTTTTCGGTAAGGAATGATTCAAAGTCAAAATTTCCACTTAAAAGTGGAAGAGAAACTAATTCTAAACATGGTCAACAATCTACAACTGAGTTAAGCTTCATGAAACACCTTAAACCTAATGTCAACCTGCTTTTTCAACCCTGACACCATCAATGACTGAATTGAAGGGAAATATGTCTTGCTCAGACAAACATTGAGGTAGTTTCTCACAATGATACAATGAAGACAATGTAAAGCATCTTTCTTAGGATCTGTGTCAATGCAAGGGGGGCAGGTGCACTATACAAAGTTGAGAGAATAATTAGTACAAAAAACTTTGACTAAATCATTTGATAAATTCAAGACTATAAGAGTTGAAAATCGAACACGACTTCGGCTTCCAACAGGACAAGGACATAAAACACTCATCACAAGCTGACTCCATTAGTAATTCTAGAATTGTCCAGATCTCAATCCTCTAAAACATTGGTGAACTATAACTTAAATCAATTAAAATAAACTACACCAGTTCTGATAGAGAGAAAGAAAAAATACACAAGAACTGTACCAGAAGGCTGTTGGTGATGACAAAGGAGCAACCATTTAAAGCCTTCTTTTGACAATCATGGACATCTATAACTAGTGCAAATATGGGCTAGTTCAAAATAAATACTGTATAATTTACTACTAAACCACCAAATCCAACACTTTGTCTCCCTTATATTTCTAAATTTAGCATCTATGTTTGAAAATGCCCATTAACTCTAACTGAAGAGAACCAGGATGGACAACAAACTGTGAGGCCCGTTCAGTCATTAGCAGCTGTTCATATTGTGATTAATGAGTCTCCAGTACTAATGATCTCCCTAACACCCCAACAGCACCTAGCTATGTGTCACTGTCACACCACAATCCAGGTCAAAGCATGACCACATGTAGGTAGGCAGTGAGGTAGTGGTGGCCTAGTGGTTAGGGCATAGAACTTGGAATGCCTCTCATCAAGACCCTTAAACCCAGTTTGCTCCCCTGGCGCCCCACAGTTGCATCCCACTGCTTCCAAGGGAATGGGTTGATTGCAGAGCTAAATTTCTCCAATGTGACATCAAGAAAATCTATTTTTCATTATTATAAGTAAAAGAAATTACTCCTTTATGCAGTGAGAATTTAAAAAACATATTCAGTAAAATAGTCAAAGAGATGAATGCCAGTGAGTTCAAATCCTGTTTCATTTATGTGGTGATTTTAGTTAAAAAGGCATGTAGCTCCACCTTATAAAAACTGCACTTTATATTTCCACTGATACTGATGACACCCTTTATGTTGGTCCAATGTCCACGTAAAAAAACTAATCATTTCAGGCCTCCCCGTAACAAATGATTTTGAAATAATCATGGGTAATCTTCTGGGAAACCCACCTGCGGCTAAATAAGCTGAGCCTGACCAGCTAGGGAGGGTCAGAGCTAAGTCTGGATTGGGGAGCAAAGCAGAGAAGAGCTAAGTTTAACTGAGCAGTTAAGGCCAGAGCCATTATTGTCTGCTGTGTATTTAAATCAGCAGTTATGACTCTCACTGAACTTAAGTTACCACTCTATAATCAGAGCTCCAGCTTTTTTGAGAGCAAGAGCACATGCGTTTGATGGCAGATGTTTGGTTTGTACACTGGTCAGTTTGCATACTGATTGAAAAAGTGGAGATGGTAAATGAGGCAGTAATAGTTGTTTGTGCAGCACACATGGGGCATATGTTGGATGATAATGATCCATCAATAGCTTAGGCTCATTTTCTCTGCAAGACTGATTGGTCATCATTAAATTAACTTAATATGAGTTACATTTTACTCCAGGTATGAACTAGTACTGACTATAAACAAATCAACTTAACAAAAGAAATGTACAGAAAGTCTTCACTAACTTTTCTCTACACAGCTGTAGCACTACAACACAAAATGGCAGACATGAAACAGCAAGATATAATATCTTAAAAAAATAAATAGATGGAAGAACTGAAGGTCAATACATCACAGGTCTGCCTTTAATATTAAAAATTTGTTCAAATTTAAGGCACAACTTGTACTCGTACTCGTACTCGTCGTCTCCCGCTTTATCCGGAACCGGGTCGCGGGGGCAGCAGACTAAGCAGAGACTCCCAGACTTCCCTCTCCGCAGACACCTCCTCCAGCTCTGTTGGGGGAAGCCCTAGACGCCCCCAGGCCAGCCGAGAGACATAGTCTCTCCAGCGTGTCCTGGGCCGTCCCCTGGGCCTCCTCCCGGTGGGACATGCCTGGAACACCTCCCGAGGGAGGCGTCCAGGGGGCATCCGAAGAAGATGTCCGAGCCACCTCAACTGACTCCTCTCGATGTGGAGGAGAACCGGCTCTACACTGAGCCTCTCCCGAATGACCAAGCTCCTCACCCTATCTCTAAGGGAGAGCCCAGCCACCCTGCGGAGGAAGCTCATTTCAGCCGCTTGTATCCGGGATCTCGTTCTTTCGGTCATGATCCAAATTTCATGACCATAGGTGAGGGTAGGAACGTAGACCGACCGGTAAATTGAGAGCTTTGCCTTTTCGCTCAGCTCTCTCTTCACCAGGACAGACCGGTGCAGCGTCCGCATTATTGCAGCAGCCGCACCGATCCGTCTATCGATCTCCCGCTCCATTCTTCCCTCACTCGTGAACAGGACCCCAAGATACTTGAACTCCCCCACTTGAGGCAAGGACTCCCCTCCAACCCGAAGGGGACATGCCACCTTTTTCCGGTCGAGAACCATGGCCTCGGATTTGGAGGAGCTGATTCTCATCCCAGCCGCTTCACACTCGGCTGCGAACCGCCCGAGCGCACGCTGTAGGTCTTGGCAGGAGGGAGCCAGCAGAACTACGTCATCCGCAAAAAGCAGGGACGAGATCCGCTGCTCCCCAAACCAGACCCCTCCGGTCCTTGGCTGCACCTAGAAATCCTGTCCATAAAAGTTATGAACAGGTCCGGTGACAGAGGGCAGCCCTGTCGGAGTCCAACATGCACCGGGAACAGGTCCGACTTAATGCCGGCAATGCGAACCAGACTCCTGCTCCGCTTGTACAGAGAACGGATGGCCCCTAATAAAGGGCCCCCGACTCCATACTCCTGGAGCACCCCCCTCAGGGCAGCACAAGGGACACGGTCGAATGCCTTCTCCAAGTCCACAAAACACAGGTGGACTGGTTGGGCAAACTCCCATGAACCCTCAAGCACCCTGCAGAGGGTGTAGAGCTGGTCCTCCGTTCCACGGCCAGGACGAAAACCACACTGCTCCTCCTGCAGCCGAGGTTCGACAATCAGCCGGACTCTCCTCTCCAGCACCCTGGCATAGGCCTTTCCGGGGAGGCTGAGAAGTGTGATTCCCCGATAGTTGGAACACACCCTCCGGTCCCCCTTCTTGTGGAGGGGAACCACCACCCCAGTCTGCCAATCCAGGGGAACTGTCCCCGACCTCCACGCGATGTTGAAGAGACGTGTCAACCATGACTGTGGTTTTAATCCATTTGGAAGAATGAATGACTAATGAAGACATGCTTACATTCAACTAAAAAGTCAACAGGTATCTAAGAAATAGAAATAAAATAGAATCGTATGTCAGATGTCCAGAAAGACAGAAGAATCAAAGAAAATGTAAACTAGTTCAATCTAACAGATATTAATGAAGAGAAGCCACACCTACGCTAGAAGTAATTTGATCATTCATTTAAATTTTCATCCAAAGTCTTGCTGCAGCATAATGGAGTAGCTGGTGGCTCTTATTTTATTTATAAATTTTTTACGTCCTGCTACTAAAAAATAACACTTTAGCCTTGAGTTATAAATTGTATGAACTAGTGTTTCAGTATCACTTTAGTAATATTAGGGGAGGACAGAACTTTTTCTAAACATGTTTAATATGGGAATCAAATTGCATGTTCTGGTCAAAGATAACACTATGGTTCTTTTACTTATACCAGAAGTCAATTTAACACAATCCAGAGGAAGTTACCCGGCTAATTACTTTATTTTTAAAAGACACTTTTGTTTGTGGATGTTGGAGCTCATCCTTTTTTTCAGTGTAGTCCTGTTTCTCTGACTGTGACTAACTAAATGTGCTCTTTCATACTCTGACATGAGAGCTGGCTCTGAGCTGGTCTCCCTGGCTGTGTGTTTCCTGGATGGGGCCGTATGTATGTATGTGTTTTTTCTGAGTATGAGGATTTTTATCAGAATCAACGTTTTCCTATGCCCGAACAAGTCAGCTAAACAGCTAAACCATAAAAGATATTGAAAAAATTCCTTCAATGTGGCGCTGATTGACAGATGCCTTTTGTGTCTATGCTTCTTTTTCTATATCAGCTTCTGTCTCCTTGAACCTCAGTCAGCCTCGTCAGATGGCCGCTCAAACTGAGCCTGGTTCTACTGAAGGTTCCCTCCTGCTAAAAGGGAGTTTTTCCTCTCCACTGTCACACTAAGCATACTTAGTGTGAGGGTTTGCCTTTGAGTCAATGAGTCGATGCAATCAGCTGGTTTTCCTTAGATAGAAAACTTCGAATCAAATTGACTGTATGATATGGTTGAACTGTCTCTGTAAAGTGCCTTGAGATGACATGTGTGTGAATTGGCGCTATATAAATAAACTGAATTGAATTGAAAAGACTGGTTAAAAGATGAGAACAGTGATCTTGTCTGAGCTTAGATAAAATGTGAAGTCATCTCAATGTTTTTGTCTAAGAAATTATAACAACAAATGAAACAAAATCACTTCTCCTTCCCCTACATAAAAACATATTTAATGGGATTATTTAATCTTTACTTTGCTAATTAGCTCTTACATCTCTCTGAATTATTATTAATATCACAATTGTAAATATTTTCACCTTTTTTGTTGTCATCTTTTAATCAAGCCCTTTTCTTGCCATGTTAGTCCAAAATGTCACTAAATTAAGATTAGAAAAAGATAAGACACAATTTTTGTTAAGGGAAAGAGATGCTTAGAATATCCCTGAAATGTTTGTTCACATTTCTATAATACTACCTGATCACATGTACTGACAAGCAAAAATGAGTCTTTAATCAACTGCCTCAGTAAACTGTGCTATAATGATCTAAAATCCATTCACTGAGTTCATTGTGATGCTGCATCGTAAAACCTAATTTGTTCACCTGTTAGAAAGCTATTGTTTACAGGGCCACAGTTGAGATATGCAAAATGCAATTACTTGTTTATTCGCATGATCTGCTGCACCGTAACCCATTTTCCATTATTAGTTAAAGCACAGTCAGAATGGATTCGCTTCTTTATAATAATTAGACTTGGCATTTATTATGGCTAAGTACCGGTGCTGTGCAGCATGGGTCATGGAGATGGAGATATTACAAAAATGTCCAGAAAAATGTTGATCAATATAAAGCTTTGTTACCAGCTTTCACAAAAAGACAGTACTTGTACATGAAACACACAAAATAAAAAGTAGAAGTCAAGTTGTTTTTTTTTTTTTTTTTGCAAGTGTAAAAATTGTTCATCCCCATGAATTTAATGTTTTAGTCAATTCAATTTTTAGAACAGATGTGTAGCATTGTTTGATAAGTCTTTTATGTTTAAAACTTGCTTTTTTAGCATTTTGTTTTGAAATTGATAAAAAGATTATAGGAGTTTTCACTCCTATAATTGTAAAACAGAATCTCTTTCCAACTCCCAAAAGCCTGGCTGCATCAGTAACTTTTTAACATTTTAAGATCTGTTACAAACCCTGTTCCTTTTCCTGTGACTAGAGAATAAAAGATGAATCTTAGTGTACCTCCTCCCACTGGTGGATGTAACGGATGAGCCTTGACAGCCTGAGGAGGCGCAGCAAACTCAGGATCTTTGTGAACCGGACGATGCGAAGTGCCCGGGCCGTTTTGTATACCTCTGAGTCGATCCCCTTCTCCACAATGAGGAAGATATAATCCACAGGTATGGAGGAAACAAAGTCCACAATAAACCAGCTCTTCAGGTATTTTTGCTTGATCTTCTTGGGATCCAAGATGATCTCAGTGTTGTCTTCAAAGACAATCCCTGTCCGGAAGTTGAGCACCAGGTCCATAAGAAAGAAGGTATCTGAGACCACGTTAAAGATGATCCAGGGTGCTGTTGTCTCATCTTTGAAGAATGTGATGCCTACTGGGATGATGATCAGGTTGCCAACCATGAACATCAACATGGTGAAGTCCCAGTAGAACCTGAGCAGAAGAAGATTAAACTGGTGATTTATCCTGATCTTTTGTTATAAGTTAGAAATACAAATTCCTTTATAAAGATCTGAGTAAAGCCTTGAAATAAATGTATCTTTATTGCAGTAGCCTAAAAATTTAGTTCAATTCCCCCCATTGTAAATACAGTCATCTTGGTAGAAATATTAATATTAGAAAATAACTATAATTTAACAAATGATTTTCCTCCCAGCAAAAAATAATGTTACAAAGGAATCCATCTCAGTCTTTTACTATTTATCTTTGATTGAGGAACTGAACGTTTACTAGGGAAACAAATCAGAGGCCATTTTGCCAAATAAGTGTTGATCTTCATAAGGCTGCTCACCAAAATTAGTATATACTGACAGTCAGATTGAAAGGGATGAAGTTCTGAGAAGCGAGAGCAGTTAGGAGTCTAATAAACTGCTTAGTTATATCATCAGGGATGATCAGCAACATTTCAGCACCACATTTGATGTTTGATTTTTAAGCAAAGACTGGGTTGAATAAATTAACAACAATTGTAAAGACAATCAAGTAAAATTACAAATTTAATAGACACAAATATTGTGTATAATAAATGATATATATAACTACATTATTTTTATAATTTAGTGCTTATGTTTACAAAGGGGTATAAAGAAGTTCCGTGTGAAGGGTCCAGACAGCTGTTTGGATATTTTCTTATGAATGAGCAAATGAGATTCAATATATTATGCAACTCTAATTGATTTTGTGACAACAAAAAAATGGATAAGGACCCGTATTTATCATGCAACCATGGACTTGGAGCAGAAAATTAGGGGAAAATAAATAAAAATTCTTTGTTTATGGAGAATAGTTAATTTTTATAACACTTGTGCAGGAAAAGGGGCATCTTATACACACAACATCAAGAAATATTATTTGTCAAGTCTGTCATTAAAAAAGTACCTTTTTAAAAATCATTATGATAAAGAGGTGCAGTTTTTTTTCTTTTTAAACATAACACTGGGAGTTTAACTAAACCAGTGTTATGTGGTCAGATGGGACCAAGATAAATGTGTGGAGCAGCACATTGTGCCCACTGTTAGGTAGGGTGAAGGATACAGTATGTAACGCTCTGAGATCATTTCTATTTTTTAAAGACCCTAGATATGTTATTAGAACTCTTTGGAACACATAGGGACTTTTTTTTTTAAAACCCCATAGTATTTTGGAAACCATGGGTAATCTAATTGAAAATACTCATATAAATTGTCCTTTCTAACTAAGATGACAGAAGGCAGCCTTTTTGACACTTTAAGTGTGGCAGACTCAAAGATTTTTGTACGTCGCAATCATGGTTGGGAATAAGAGGTAAGACCGCAGTAAAATCTGAACTACTTAGTTTTTAGTGGCTGATGTTACATGCCAGTAAAGATGAGACTTTACACAGCTTTAGTGCAATGATATTAACTACAGTACTGGGTGGGGGACTGACACTGACATTGTAGACATAAAACTGATGAGCTACTATGCCTTTTTCTGTCTCCATTTATTTTATTCTTTTAGCGTCTTACGTCTGATTTATACGGAAGCCCTGAAAGTCAAGAGAGAATAAAAATCTGGAAAAGAAAAGTTTTAATTTTTTTTTTGTCTTGTATTATTTTTATGCCCTAAAAGGCAAAAGAGAAAAAACAAAGGCAAATGTTTCTGTTGATTCTTGTAATACTTTATATTTGCCACTACAGGCACTGACACAATAAGACAGACACTCAGTCACGGCTGTATTAGTCAACTTTATATAGTCAGAGGTTTTCAAGTATCAATGTCCCGAATATAAATTTTTGCTAAGTAAAATAAGATGCAAATAAGGTACAAAAGCTATGTATTTATAGATGTGTATTCATAGATTTATAAATAAGAAAATCACTTTGAAGTTTATTTTGCTTTAGCCATTTATCAAAGAGTTTCATTCCATGCAGAGTGGTATAATTTTATTTCTATATGTTTTTAGGACTATGAATACTAGCAGGAGAGCTACTGTCCTGAAAGCTTTGGATACATCCCTCCTCGAATGCAGCTCATCTCTTTGGCATGCTATCAAGTTTGGCAAAGGCCTGGTAATGAGCCACTCATTTGATTTCAGATTTCATGGGGCAGTGATGCATCTATACACTGCAGGACAGCAGCTTTCATGGACTGAATTCTGGGTATCCTTGCTAATAGCCAGTAAGAACCACAAAATTAAGTTTCTCTGAAAATTTTAATTTACATGAGACATGTAAATGTTTGAATTAATTATTGCATCAGTGCAGCGTGGCGTGGTGGTAATCACCCTGTGACGCTGCTGAGGTGTCCAAGGAGCCCAGCCTGCCTTAACAGCCTTCTGCCTTTATGTGTAGTTGGTTCTGGCGTATCTTATTCTCCCTTTGACAGCACTGTATACGTTTTAAATAAGCTAAGTTCAATCGAGAAAAGACATAGCAGGGTCAACAGCATCATCATGAAGGAGATGCATTGAGTGCTAATTTCCAGGGAGGTTGGTATATATTCAAGTGCCTCTAAAGGCGGTTCTTTTCGTTGCTGCATGTAGACCATACTGTTTTCCTATTGCTAAGCTTTCCATCAATATGTATAGGGACACCACTCAAGTAGGTTATTTAGTAATTGTTTTTTGTGGCATTCCCTCCTTCTGGAGTCTGTCAATAACTGTCTAAAAGACATGAAAACTCAACAATTCCCCTGTGAGTGTGTTGGTCTTAATATGAATACAAAAAAAATATCTAAAAAAAAAATCATTAAATATCTATTTTAAAAAACTGCTTATTTTCTAACTGACAAACTGTAAGGCAAGCATTGAATTTGCCAGAAGTAAGATATTAGAGAATACAGACATCCTTTCAGTAATTCAGTTCATTTCTGAACTGAAATGCTAAAATCCATTTTTAATCAGTGTGCAATGTTTCAACTTTTTAAGTGTGTTATCATTTATTGAGAATTGGTTTTTTGTAGAAAACGGACGAATAAAAATAAATTAACTGTTTTTACGCAGAATTTTTGGGAAGGAACTGTTCTTGGTTCTGAAACTGACTTTTTTTACTGTTTGGAACAACCACCGACAAAGCCAGCTGACCTCAGAAAAATGTAATAAATAATTCTGTGAACTAAGCATTTTATCAACGTATGAAGAGTCTGGACTCGTTTTAAAATATCTGCTTCCATTAAAATAACAGGACGGAGAAGAAAAAATATGCGCTGAAGTTACTGCTTGTAATTATATTTTGTGTGTGCTCATTTTGGGCGTTTAAAAATGCTTTTAATGAATCTATTCATCTAAAGTTGTCTGAAATCATTTTCCAGGATCCCAAATCGGTGCTTTTATACCTTTCATGGACCTAAAAGCACTTTAACAGGATGAACCATGTCGGATCCGCCCATACCTGAAGTCGCTGTATGGGTGGATAATCCAGTTACCCGCAGATTTTACGCGCTCCTGCTCCTTCTCCACCGCCTTCTGGCTCCCAAACATGCGCAAGGAGAATTTATTAACTCCAGGCTGGAGCATGGAGCTGAACTGCCGCTGCATGTAGGTCTGGTTCCCCCTGGAGTCCCCATCGTCCGGAACTATCTGAGAACTGTCCTCCGCTTTAGTGAAAGTGACAGAGTTTCTTGAATGCGCACTCGGGGTTTGACCTTTGCCAGTCGGAGCGCTGGAAAAAGAAACTCTTGAGTCCTTCTTCTCCATCGGTGCGGTGGTCTTGACCTCAGTCCCGGTGGGGCCCTGAGTCAGGGAGCCCGCTGAGGTACCAGAGGCGTCCATCCTCCCAGCCTGCCCCTTTTCCTCTTGACTCCCTACGTCTCCATCTGTTTGCCTTTCTTGTCTGGAGATGAGAGAAGACAGACTCCCTGAACTGGTTGGGTCCCTTCTACAGTCTCCGTTCTTGTTGCATATCATTCCGATGGGCCCCGCGCCTGATGCCTCTGAGACTGTGTCCCTCCTGTGGTCTGACACTGAGCCACCCCGGCTGCCAGTAGCTTCCCCCGGACATAACAAAGCAGAGGCGGCGCTGTCAGCTGCGCCCAGAGGTTCTTTATAGGAGTCCTCGTCCTGCAGGAGCCACAGTTCGTTGTTGTTGTTGGAGTTTTTGCGCGCGGCCCCGCCTCCAAGTGTGAATCTCTTCATCTCTGTCCCCCCGCCGCTCCCATCATTAGAGCATCCGCTAAAACTGGCAGCTACTACAGGAGGCGCAGGCTGCTGGAAGCCTGGCTCCTCCTCGCCTACCTCCGCCTCGTCCATGACACCGGCAGGAGGAGACTCCCTTTAACCTGGGGACGAGGAGGAGGAGGAGCTCCTCTCCAGTTTCCATTCACATCACTTTAGGAAGAAGAGCGGCGTGGCGTTACTATGGCTACAATGTCAGCTGTTTTATTGTGTGTTTGCAATAAAGACAGAGGGGTGATGACTTGACAAGAGCCTTAGGCTACAAACTAAAAAGGAAAACCATACTAAAGCAGCCTGGACCTCAGATAATAATAAAGTTAATACATTGTAGGATGATCTACCAGAATGAAAAGGGAAAGTAGCCTAAGCTGTTGAGATGATAAAACTGAATAAATGATAACGGCTTTAGCAAATACACCATGTAACCATCATGGTCATCCAGGCTTTTTAAACTCTGGAAAATCAGAAGGAAAGCAGCGCCTGTTACTGTCCTCACGCTTATCATAACCTCCACCTGACATAGATACTGAAATGGTGAAATAGCTCCATCTTGTGGACAAACGTGGTTATTTTACAATTAACTCCGAATGAGTTCATTTTGTGTCCAAAGGTTTTACCATAAAACCCTGTTTTACGAAAGATTATTGATTTCGATTTTACAGGGAAAATTTCTGGTAACTATAGGGACCATGTACTTATTTCTTCATACAAATATACTTTTCAGAAATCACCCTAAAATGTAGTGCATCCACATTTTCTCCCATTTCTTATGAGTTCCATTCTTAAAATTTAAGTCATTACTTATATAACTCATGAAATCCCCCCTAACATGTTATCTTTAGACTGTGTTAATAAAAATAAAAGATTTTGCACAAAATGTTTTTTCTCTGTGTAAAGTTATAGAGAGAACTGGGAAATTTAAGGTACTTTAAAAACTGTCTTCAACTGATTCAAAATAATCAAAAAAAAAAGGCATAATGAATTAACAGAATAAAGAAAAAGTTGTAAAAAGAAAAAAAAAAAAAGAAAATAAGAACAAAAATACAAAATAAAATATGACAGGGGACCCAGAAGAGGCTGGCTATGAAAAAGATCACATGAAATGTATTTTTGTTTTCATTGTTGTGAAATGCTTTGTTATTCTAATATCCATAAAAGGTACTGTGCAAATAAATGTTACCTACTTAACAGTACCAAAGTTAATAAAGATTACAGCAAAATATCTGTAACACCAGCCTGACTCTGCTGACATGTTGGCCCAGAGAGAACTTGAACCCAAGTAATAATGAAAATCTTAGGTTTTGAACAGAATTTCTATCTAAATCTTTTCACTGATGATGTAATCACTTTCCAGACTCATAATCATATCTATCAGGTTACAAATTTGTCCATCAGTTCATGAATAAATTGTAGTTGTATGTGCCAGCTGGTTGTGGCGTAGGTTGTGTGTCCAGTGCATTTGTTGAAGGTATAAATATACACGGTGCATGCTAATTATCACACATCTGTTGTTGCATTGCAGTGCATGGCTGATATCACAGACATCAGCTGCTATGAATGCATAATGGCTATAGAATGCTATAGACATGGAATGTTTGGAATGTGCTGCATCTGGTGAATAATTTCCCAGTTTCCTTCATTTCTTATTTTAATAGTCGCGTCTCTTGATATATTAGAGGGATGTTTGTCATATTGATGGATAAAAGATTAATCCATTCATTTGGATATATTTTGAACCCTCACACCACCTTTCCAAAGGTAAAGATCATTTAGATTAACACTGTAATGATCTGATATTAGTAGTCAAGATTTTTTCTGCCGTTGCTCCTAAAATCAATGTTATCCTTTTACCTGAATCCCTGTGGTTCCACCATCAGCTCAATGGAAATGACTGCTACTGAGCAAGTTAGGAAGTCAGATAAATACTCCTCTATTCACTGTAGTCATCCTATAAAATAAATGTCCAGCTCAACTCAAAGACTTTCCATGTTAACTGCTTTCAACAGGTCCTGGAAAACCTTCAGTGATCCAACCTTTTAGGACGCTTAATCTGGATGCCAAAATCATTCATTACAGGCCCATACCTAATCCAGCATTTCTGATGTTCTGAATGCATTTTCCAAAAAGAAAACAAATCCTTTAAAAATAATCTCTTTGTTTTTATACATTGTTTTTACTAAAACATTAGTGAATATATGTGAATCATTAATTTTGATGCTGAGGCATCTAAAACCTCTGTTGGTCTTGGTTTTGCCAGATTGCAATGCAGCGTTCAACACAGCTGACTAGTCTATAGCATCTGACTAACATCTCTAGGGGACAACAGTCTCATTTGGGCCAATACTGCAATCAAGTACAGAACTTAAATATGTTTCCTTTAAAAGTACAGAATAACTAATAAGTCTATTTTTAAAAACTGTTTTATGCATGACGTATGACATCTATTAAGTTTCCCTTTTTTGTTCACTGTGTTGGTCAAGAGATCAGAAAATACAGACTTTTTTCTAGTTTTAATCTAAATTACACTTCCAGACAGGACAGTATGGGCTCCAGAGGACTGAACTGAACAGAAGTCCTACTGAATATTCTTTTTAGTGCTCTGGTATGCATTGCATTAAAGTTGCAGCTAGCATTAAAATCAAAATGAAAAATCGGGGAAAATGTATAAAATGTAAAAAAGAAATTTAATAATTCACTTTTTTTTCTTTAAAAAAACCTATTGATGCCAAACAAATACTGCAGGATTTGTAACATATCTAAACATGAAAACATATAACTCAATCATACTTGTAATGTTTTATATTTTTGGTAATGTATTATTTAGCAAACAAAGATTCTAGTTGGGAGGTCTTCAAGCTTCATTCTCTAACAGCTTTATTTACTATACACTCTCCATAGCTCAAATTATGAAGGAAAACATTGGCAGACAACTCAGCTTATCTTCTGTCATTACCACATGGTTAAAGTTTGCTATCACTTTGTGTGTCTATTATATCACCATGTGGATGTGTCGGATTTTCTGCAGCACTTGCTTTTATTTTTGCAAGGTAATGGGAAGTTAGATCAGAACTTAACTGGACTTCAGATTTTTATCTTACTTTCTATTATTAATCTCTACAACCTCATAAATTACTAGGATTAAGGGATCCCTCACAGAACAGGAACCTGAAAACCTGATTTTCTGTTTGGGAAGGTTAGATTATTGCAGTGGTGTTTAAACAACTCGGTAAAAACAAAAATAACACAGCAGCAGCTCTAGAATAATAATGGTGGTTGATTATTCACCAACACTTAGAAAATATTTATTAAGATCAAGTATATGCTGCATTAAATACAAAAGATGCCTGTGGGTGTGAATGAGGTGGGTGCAGACCCCAAAATGAAAAGGGTCTGATATTGGCATTTCCATACTAAATAAGAGCAGGCCAGTTCACCAGGGGTGCTAGTAAAGAAATGTTTGTCATCCATGTTTACCTTAAAAACACAATTTTGTATCAAAGAGCTTTACATGACAGAACATTACTGTAGTTAAATCTTGGTCAAATCAATAATTCGATTAAGTGTTTTAATTTCTTTTAACGGGGGGTTTAGAATGCAAGAGAAATTCCAGAAAATAGAGAGAATTTAACTGAGGGTTCAGGATTCTGTCTTTAAAAAAAAAAACTACTCAGGAAGTGTGCAGTGGTTTGGTGTTTTTGCACCTTTAATCAGATGAAGACCTTTGGACACAGATCTAGAGCTGGAACGGACAGAGTTCTTGTTTTAGGGGTTACATGCTAAGCAGAAAATACAAACAAGGAAGTGCAGAAGTCCAAAGACGATAATATGTCTGTGTTGAAAGTTAATGTTCCCATGTCATGCTGACAGCAGCAACCTGGCAAGATTTACAGTAAAACCAGACAACAGCAGCATTCAACTCTCAACATTTATGCATGCATATACCATTGGATGTAAAATTTGATCCAGAAATCCCACCACAAAAAAAGCCATGTATGGTACAAGGGATCAAAGCAAATTCCTGCCATACATTCCTGGCTTCCAGTCCTTCAGCAGCCCGTCTGTGATGGCTCGAAACGCAATTAATGTGGACATGAGACGAGGCTGCTGTGTGATGGGTGAATCCTTGCTTTCCATATAGCAAAGCTGCTCATATATATACACAATGACCTGTATACATAACCTAAGGTGGGCAGTAACTGGTTATATGTACTGAAACATCTATGTACTTTTGAGTTTTACTGTACCACTTTTTTTTTACTTTAATATTCTTGTGAAGCAGCACCATTTCAAATCATGCAACATTTTGGGCGACTCTGCTCATCCAAGATTGTTTAAATATACAGTAAATAGTGGAAGGGCCTTACATGTATACATAGCTGTGTGCTCAAATACAAGCTAAAACACGAACAGTCTTCCAAACACTTAAAAGTAGTGTTCAATCAAAAGTCCACACATGAAAAGAATAAAAAAAAATAAAAAATCTGAATGGTCCTTCAGCTCTGATGGACCAATACTGCATACTTTAATTGAACCATTAATTGTAATAGGCGTGTGTAAATAGTATCCAGTGAATTCACACAGTTTAGCTCTGAATAAGAAATCCCCCTCAGCTGTTTTTAAGATGAGCCCTTAACAGCAGTAAGGAGACATGACTATACTTTTACTGGGAACCTCCATGCAACACAGGTGTTAAAGTTCTGAGACCATCATAGCCAGACGTTGATGTGAGCTTGTATAGAAGAGTTGAGATGCTTTCCCACCTGAAGATAATACTGCAAATTGCACTTATTTCGTATTGTATGATTCTACATTCCACTCCAGCTCCACCCAACACACTCCTACTTCATCTGTTGAATGACGCGGTCCACTACAATTCTTTGGTCTATGATCTTATCAGAGGCTATAAAGGGATCTGATCTTGTACGCCTTCATATTGCTGAAAGCATTGGTCAATTCACTGCTCAGGAATGTGTGTGATGTTCATATCCTGAGGCCAGCACTTGGGGAAAAATTGTAATGTAGGACTTTCTCGTTAAATCAAAACGTTAACCAGGACATTAAACTTTTCCCGCCCCAGATAAATGGTACTTTGCAAGATATTAAACCAAACCAAGAGAACAGACTTAAATTTCAATCTCTTTATTTCAGTTTGTGCAAGTTGTACAAATGATGTCCTTCCGAGCTACACACTTGACACAATCTGGCCAACTCTTTAAATTTTGCAACTCTAAAATTTAACATTCAATAACCACACTGTTCAGGTTAAATGAAATATATATATGGCTTCTGAATTATCTACACAGTGAAGAGGAAAGAGACAACCATTTAACAATCAGATGTTTCAGATAGCAAAAGCAGAGATTCAGTAGTTTTATTCAAAATGTGTGCACATTACCAAATATGCATTGCAACACCTAATCTTTTGCACTTGGTCCAGGGTAATCTTTATACTGGAGTGGTCAAGCCTGCAAAGATAAACCATTTTAAGTCAAAAAAAAAAAAGAAAAAAAAAAGAAAAAAAAGAAAAGAATCATCCAATTAAAATTAGATCTAAGATAAAGACTTTGAAGAGATTAAATGGTTGTAAATTTCTAGAAAATAAAAAAATTGGATCTAAAAGTATTTTTTAAAAGAGGCAAGGTTAAAAACAAAACAAAAAAAGACATGAAAAGCAGTTTAAGGCAAAGTAAAACACTCTGCAAACCACAGCTTGAGGGGCTGCAACAGCTCATACATGAAATCTAGTGCACTGTTTTTCCACCAATAATCTTGTTAAAAAGGTATTACAGAAAACTTGTTGCGAACAGTTAATCATAAAAACAGTGACAATTGTAAAGCAAGAAGAATCAGCTTATAAAAGAAATTTACAAAACTATGCATTCCTATTACAGCACACACTTTGCTAGAATAGCATTTAAACTCATGCAAAATTTGCCACAGGGCCTCAAGCAGAGAGTTTCACACCATGTTCCTGGCTGCACGATGCAAAGAGGGAAGAAAAAAAAAAAAAAACACCAAAAGCTAGTTAAAAAAATGGAGGGATTGCACAATATAATGTGCCACACATAAATCCTGGGGTGCCAACTGGACATCCATCTAGAAATGGGAGGTAAAAAAAAAAAAATTCAGTTTTCTTTTTTATTTACAAAAAAAAAAAACTTCTCAGTTAAGAGTAGTAGTTATAACTATGGCATTACAATTAGCAAATCATACATCATTACTGCAGATTAATGCCATGAGGACATTTCTCTTAGCAGGTCATAATGTAGATAGTTGAAAAAAATGAACAATCCCAGTGGAGAGGCCTTTAGAAGAAATGTCCAAGAAAGTTCCTGCTCTAGCAGGACAAACACTTTCCCACAAAGACGTTTATAGAGAAAAACCATTTAGGTTTTAGAATAACCCAATTCCTGGCAACTATTGCCAGTGTTCAACGCTTAAAATGAAATCTGCTTCCATCTGTGATCCAGTTCTTTGAATTTATTACACTTTTATTTAGAGTTAGAGGCATATATAATATAAAAAAAGAAATTCTGATTAAGAGTAATGTAGTTAGCTTTTTTTATGTCATTTTCACATACCTCCTGCTGTTTTTAGTTGGAATTCCTTTGCCTCACATTCTTGTCCTTGTGGTTTGAAGTGGAATTGCTCTTCCTGGAATACAAATGAAATGAGCTCTAGCAAAGGCTAATAAATAGAAAAGAAAAAAGCTCAAGTTTTAACATTACTTACAGAGGAGCAGATCCTACGTCATCGTCTGCATCAACAAAAAGAACAAAAAAAAAAGTTAACAGCAAAACCTACTGAGGACATTTATAGAGCATTGCAATCAACGGTTATAGCAAATGGTAAATGACATCTCAAACATGACTGCAATGACACGATCAATTTAACTACACAGGAAAAGATGTGCTCGTCATTACAATTCATGACAACCGAATTCATACAACGGTGATTCAAACAAACAGTTCGACTAGATCTATTTGTTTTAGAAAAAAAAACAAAAAACTATCAATATAAAATGCCATTTTAACAGTTCTGTTGCTCCAGCCAGTCTCCAGTAATGCTGAACTGTTCAGTTGGCACTAATTTTTACTGCAATTTCCTCTTGAAACTCTCAGCATCACAGAGGCTCATGCAAACCAAGCCAGAGATAACACTGCAACAGTTGTATTCTAAAAATGATAGAGCCAACACGCATCCTAGCAATGTGTAGTGGAAGTTTCACACCTGAGCAATAGCATGTAATCACAAGGCAAGACAGTAAGGCTCCTTTGTGTCCGAATGATGAATGAGACATGGCATAGACTGATCTTTACGAGGTCGCTTCCTTTTGGTCGTCATGCATTAAGTACAAGATGCAGAAAACATGCAAACAAGTCGAAGGACTTTTATCAAATGTGACCAGCATCATTGCAAACAATTACACTTCAAGTGTATTTTTGACTCTTTCATTGGCCCAAAGACTAGACTGACTTTAAGGACCAAAAAGTGAACGTGAATTTTAGGCTTGCTCTTGAAAAACATTCAGCGCCAGTGAAAGAGTGACCAAATCTTTGAGCACATTCCTCTTAGAAGTGGTTACTATGAAAGCAGTTCAGTCAGGCTCCCATAGCTTTTTCCTTCCCCACGCAGTCATCTCAGCTCAACCACTTCAGTCTGACATGCAGTTTTTGTTCACTTACCAAAATGCAAAATCAGCAGCGAACAGAGAAGTAAAAAATGTAAAAAAAAAAAAAAAATGCTTTGATAAAAACAGAAGCCAAATTATGAGCTACATTAAAATAAAAGTAAATAATGACAAAACAAAAGATAGCCCCGTCTCAAATACAAGGCATGCTACCATTTTCCCCTGCAGTCCAGTGGGGATTGAGAAAACCAACAGATTTATATGTAATGACTTACAAGATTTGCAGTTGCAGGTAAAAGCCTGACAGATGTTTTAGCACCTTCAAAGGAATCAAAAACTACCCAAACTTAATTGTAATTTCCCAATAAAGAAACCTCAAATCCTGAACTTGATTGAGGGTTTCTAAAAGAAAAAGAAAAGTTTTGCAAAAACACCAAAGATTGGCAGGATCATAATCCTGTTTGCCATTAGTGTTCTTTTATACATGCAGCACGTACCATCGTTGACCTCATCAGGCTTTCTCCTCTTTTCATAGATGAAGATGATTGTAACAAGGATGATGACCTCTGCCACAATGCCGAGGAAGGGCCAGAGAGCAGCCAGGCGACTCCGTACACGCAGCTTTATCTTGTCGGTATTAGTGCCGAGTTCATTGGTACCAGAGCAAATGTAGTTTCCACTGTCGCCCTCCATGTCCAGTTCATCAATGGTCAGGAGGGTCTGGTTGGGGGTACTCTTGATATTGTATCTTTCATTAGTGAAGTTGGAGATGGGCTGTAGAGCATAAGGGAGTGAGTTAGATTTAGAGAGACCAACAACGAAATCCAGTAAAAAAAAAAAAAAAAAAAAAGCATATATATCCCACCATTTCACGACCATCCTCTGCATCCTCTTTGAACCACACCCAGTCAGTGGGAAGGGGGTAACCATGAGCCACACATTTGAGCACTACTTTGTCATTCTCATTCCCGTGTTCAGAGTGCTTATAGGCTCCAACAGAAGGAAGTACTGCATAAACAAAAAAGGCATATTTACCCTCAATAATGTGAACAGGGCAAATTTTCAGCAATTGACTTAAATTTACCTTTCACTTCAATGGTCTGCTTTACTTGTGGCTCTGTATCGAAAACACATTCATAGGGTCCAGACTCTGCATGGGTTATTTTTTCCAAACTAAAAGGAACAAAGAGGCACCATTGACTTTTAAACAAGCAACAATCCCAGTTATATTTTCTTTTCCAGTACGAGAAAACAAGTGCAACTCCATTAACCTAAACTGCAGCTTTAAAAAAAAAGTACAACTTATGCTGCATATCTGGGTGTGAAACTAAAGCCGCTTGTCTGCATGAATATTTAAACTTTGCCATTAATCACAGCCCTGCTTTGTTCAGAACTACAGTCCTGCCTTCTCTCTAAAATGTAGAATTAAGGCCAGACCAGGCAGCTACAGCTAGGGGCCCCACGTCCCTGCTGCCAAGACTGCCAGCAAAGCAGCATGCCTGCACGGTCCACCTCACTAATCTAGCGTTATGAATGGCTGAATAAAAACCTGAACTCTGCTGCTAATGGAGGAAGCCATAGTATTTGTCATGGGAAAGCACGTCAGTAGTGATAACGAGACAATAGAACATTGGGAATACATCACCTGCTGTCTTAATGAACAACAATCTGCTTCTTACCTCAACTGAGCATGGTACTTGTTCACATCAGACTTTGTGTCCTCAATGACTTTGCCATTGAGAGTCCAGTAGGAACCCTTACTGCTAAGGTTACTCTCAGTCAAGTTGCATCTCAGAATGGCAGATGTTTGGTTGACAACCTCAGTGGGATCTGCAGTGATTTTGGGGCCTAGGAATCAAAAAGAAACCTTTGAGTCTTTATTAAAGACAAAGAAAAGAGAAAAAAAAATTAGAAAATAGATGTCTCGTTGTCAGATAACCATTTAGTGCATATTGCTAATAAACCACCAAAACTACAGAATGCATAGCACTTAATGGTTGTAAGACTGAAGACATCTATCCCACTCACTGGTAAGGAGAAGGAGACCAAAGGAGAAGAGTAAACAGAAAAGGCAATGGACAAAGTAAACTACAAGAAGGTCATGGGGAAAAGTGTTTTGGTAAATGCATGCAGAAGAAGCAACACCTTAGAGAAGTTCCATTCTTACAGTTTCAGATATGGAATATTTTAGAGCAAATGGGGTCTTCTGTTTTATTTATTCAGTGACATAACAGTACAGTACTCAAGGCAAAATGTTCCCAAATGTTTAATAACCAGTTGACATCTTCTGTGCCTATAGTAAAGCAGGCTATAAGCAACAGCTACGAGCATTAACTAGTTTATACCATGGTCTGAGTGAAAAACTAATTCAGACTGCCTGGAAAGGGACAACTTAAAACATTCTGTTCAAATGTCACAACATTGTTAAAACCTTGAGCTCTTAATGATAAAAAATGAATTAAAGTATTTATTATTCCTCTTATTAATGACCATGGTATAAGTGGGACAATGTGTTTTTGGTCCATTTTCAGAAATGTGACTTTGCAGAAGGTTCACTGCTGCGTTGTCAATTTATTTCTTATAATGAACACCTAGTTTGCATCATCCCCTACAAAATATTTGAATAAAGCAAGGCCTATCAAGCAGCATCACTAAGGCAGTAATCTGACAGCCCTGTTCTCTATACCCATTTACCATTGCAGGATTGGAAGGGCTGGTGCCCTTTCTTTCCGATTGAGGGTTTATACAGTATGACCAGACTTGTAATTAACAGAGCCATCAACTGTATTTGACCAAGTCTTGAAATTAAAGCGGAGGAGGTATCAGATTAAATGCATTCTTTGCAGTCAGGTGATAGAGGCCTAAAGGGGCAGCCAAGCTATGTTCTGAAACCAGGTTCACACTTCACTACAGGACAACCTTGGAGATTCTGAGGAGAAAAAGGGAGAGCTTGTACTACACGGATAGGATATTGAACCAGGAAAACAGGGTAGGAAGTCCAGGATTTCACTAATGAAGAGCTAAAACTCAGCTACTTCAACCTGAGCCTCCTCACTTTCTCCTTCCACTCACTTTCAATCACAATTATGTTTGCCTGCGAGCGGATCCACTTGATTTTGGGAGTCTTCTTCAGATCATTGCGGTCAGGGTCGTTGGAAGCACGGCACTCATATGTGCCTGTGTCATCAAGAGTGAGGCTGAGGAGGTGAATGGTGCTGGTGGCATGTTCTATGTATGTGGCATTTACTCTGACACGTTCATTCCGTGCCCCATCAAACAGCTGGGTGAATGTCTCGCTGGACTCCTCGCCCTCTATAAACCACCACTGCACCTCAGGAATGGGGTTCCCTATTACTTCACAGTGCAGCTCAACACTGTCATTGATGAGCTTCATTTTGGAGAGAGGGGATATTATAAAACCCGCTGAGTGCAATTAACAGACAGCCCAGCAAACAAATTCAAAAGACATTTAATGGTGTTAGCAGCAAAGATGAATGTGTGGTATGATAAAAATGTAGAAATGGAGAGGGGGAAAAAAAAGCATAAAGACAAAGTTAAAACACAAAGAAATTAAAATATGAAAGCAAGCACAAGACAGGCACACAGATCAGATTTTACAGCCAATTCTGTGAGACATTTTTAACTCTGATCAAGTAAAAGAAATGTAACAAAAAGGCAGTTCTAGATGACCAAAGCTCATTTAGCAACAGCAAAAATATTTTTTCCTAAAACCATTGCGGTTTTAGAGGATAGAAATGAATCGTAACAGTTTGTAGCTTGAAGATTTAAGCTAAGTTTTTAAATCCTAAGTAAGGTCCAAAAAAGCACCAACACATGTATGAACCTCTGCATAAAAACAAAGTTGCTTTACCATGCCTGTTCTCCTGGTACAAAAATATCCAATAGATGTATGTAAATAGAGACAGTTTAAATTTTAAAACCAACTGGTGAATGTTTGATTCAGTATAATGCAACTATTTGGCTCTGCTGATGTCTTCAGATTTTGTTTCCATACAATTGCCATTTCAGAAACAGCTGTTAGCTAAATGAGCATGGTCATGTAAAAACTGTGAAACACAAGCATTGATGCATTTGAACTGAGTGCAATGTGAAAGACAAAAGCAAGTCAAGATGGAAAAGAAAAAGCATTTCAAACCAAAAGTTGATGAAAATGAAGACACTTGAAGCAAATGGTGTTTGACGGCGGTGTCAAAGTTAATCTAGGTTAACACTGGATATTTTTAGGCCACCATGCCATTGATTGAATAGCGGCTTTGCACGCTTCACTAAACAAACTATAAGTTCCAATATATGGTGTAGTGATTTTTTTTTTTTTTAAACTACACATTTCTCACGCAGAAATGCATTTAAATGGCCTGAGAAACTGCAAACCCTTTAAGGCATTCTGTGAAGACCAGTAAATCAGGCTTCATTACTCATGCCGATTATGTCTACTAGGAAAGCAAGCACAGCAAGTAAAGCTACAAATTAATGAAAGCCTGTTAATGAGTGCTTTTGGATTCCAGCCCTTCCTGCATGTGTAGCTGTCATCCCTCTACACTCACAGAGTGGAGCTGTGTGGCTATTCAACAGGCTAGAAAAACAAGTTGCCAGACAACATAAGCTAAATCATGTCAACCGCTAGTGTAAGGTACAGACATTTGAAAGTAGCCGTCTTCACTGCCTCCAACAAATAAGGTTAAATGTCAGCAGGTCAAAAGGGATCCTTAGTTGTAAACATTAGCGTCAGGCACTGTGTACTGCTCTAGTGCAGCTTTCCACCATATACAGAGGTCACCTTCAGAGCTTATGACTATTTAAACTGAATACACGTTTACCTGACTTTTCTTTCCCCCACCCACATTTAGTTTTCTATTTTAAGTATTGTTCTGTAACAGGAATATATGCTTGAAGTTCTTTTAAGATTGACTTTCCAAAATTAGCTTTTGGCATTTCAATGGGGACAACAACAGTGTCCCTGGTAGGATTGTGTTACACTGGAAAAGAAAAACAATTGTTAAACAGAATAAAAAAAATTAAAAATAAATTTTTCTTTTCTCTTTTTTTTTCCTGACAGACAGGACATAGACTTTGATTTAATTTGTCATTGTGTACACAAATGTGTATACAAAAATACATTTTGTTAAGTACAGCTCTCTAGGTCTTCTCATTGTTTCTTAAAGTGCAGCCTTGATAAAGGTAAACATCAGTGATCATGGACATAACGAATAACTGGCTTAAGATCCCAAACTGTGGTGTGATTGGAGCCTGGTTGGATTAGGTCAAATTAATCCAATCAGAGTTCTGACAGAACACAATCAATACTCAATCAAGATTATTCTTCAATAATAACCAAGATCATTTAAGATGTACTACATTCCTAACCATCTGTAGTAAAGAATGATAAGGTACAACCAGCTGACGAAAAATAAATTATCTATAGCAAATTGACTAATGAGTCATTTTAGACAGAACCCAGTTTCTACACGTGCCACCACTCAGGGCGTTAAAGAGTATGTTGGATTAAAATATAAAACATCGTTACTTTTTTAATCCAAGCAACATTTGCATAAAGAATCAAAATATAACGAGCTTAATTTAATTAGGCCCAACGTTTGATAAACAATAGCTGTAAAACTAGGTCGCCTTTGGTTTGGAAAGCTCAGGAGTCGCAACGTTAACGGTTACAAATAAAATGATTGTTTAAGGATTCGGAACACATGAGCGTCTCAAATACAACCCTTTAAATTTAAAAACCTGCGTTAATCTAGTTAGTAACGCAAGTAATCATTTCAAACGTTACGCAATTAGAGGTTAAATTTACCACAGCTCCGAGGGGGCGCTTTAAAACTCACGTCTTCTCATGTGCCTCTAAAGTAACCCCGTGATTTTTAAGAAATAACGTTTTTCTGAAAAAAAAAAAAAAAAAAAAGCTATGGCTTCAAAGCGTTACATGTTGTGCGGCATTAAGCAGTTATAATGCGAGTCAACCCGCTCTCAACCGTAAATTAGCTAAACGGTTCGGGTGGTACGTCTCAAAAACACCGTAAACTCACTTCATTCACCTACAGAGGGAAATAAGATTATAAGACAGCCAATATGTGTTCATTTAACGTCGAAAAAATGTCTGAGGAGAGCGAACAAAACAAAATGTTCGTATTCGGGGCAAAGTCTGATTCTGAAGCAACATGGCGGACACACAATTCATACCTGTAGAAGCGTCGGCTCGCCAACAGCTCAAAAGCAGGGCAGCGACAGCCCACAATAACTTCATGGCTAGTGAATAAAAACCGATTTTACCCAGAAATAAACACCCTGTGAGATTGTCTTTTGTGGAAAGTCTACTTAATGCCGCCGCTCCCTGAGGTCAATTCCTCAATGCCGACAGAGCTGATGTGCTTGCTTGGTCGTCCTCTACGCACACGCCCTTATCAGCACGTACGCATGACGTAGATCAGCGGGCGTGGCGACGCATTATCATTCCATCATTATTAACTGTTTCATCACTGAAACTTCTTATTAACGCCATCTTGGCAGCGACGGAGCTAGATGGGGGGCTAGAGATAGCCATGGCCACCCTTAGCCAAGCAATACACACGGATAAATACAGAATTCAAGCAGAAATAGCTTTTTTGTTTTATGGGGTAAAGAGAAAAGTCATCTACAGTAGGAGTCTTCAGTGAAATCATAGACAAATATTTTAATAAAAAATGTAGATATTTGTAATTGTAAATATCAATTTTATGCAGAATGATAACTGATAAAAGTAGGTAAGTAATGACAATGGAAAAGATGTTCGCCCAAAACTCAAACCTGAAAGAATTTTATCCACTGTTTTTTAAAATAGACTCAATCAGCGATTAATGGCTCTGAACCTTTCCATCAATGTCTGAGGCACCATGTCTCTCCTACAGTTTACATTTTGATCACTTCTTCACTCTATAAATGGAAATGTTTCACTGTCGAAAAGCTGTATGTATCGACATTCCGTTTTGTATACACTCTTTTTACACAAAATTACAATAAAGTTTGTCTAAGTCTTTTTAAATAATAGGTTTAAGATGCTTTTAAATGAAAATGTAAGGTTGCATATCAGCAGGATTATTTAAACAGCCAGTTAGACATTTTTTACTGTCAGACAACTGTTTACTGCATTTTGCAATAACTCTTAAAAAGTATAAGAATGCATAGGATTCAATGGTAGTAACACATCCCCATAGGGAGGGCATCTATCCTGCTGATTGGAATTTGACAAACATTTGATTGGTTGGACTGAATAAAGTCAACTGGAAGACAGTAATATGGAAAATGAATGTGGAAGAGACAACATCAAGGACAGGGAATCTTAGTTACACTGCAAGACCTGGAATATTTTACAACAGTTAGGGGTATTATTTTGTTTTAGTTGCCTTTGGTTACAAAAGATAACGGGCTCCTAAAGCAGTATGCTTCTTAAAAGCTAAGAGCCTATTTAATAGATGCCATCTTCCGTGCAGATATAAAGTACGCTATAACCAATGTTTTTTCAGGATTTCCTCCACGAAAATATTTATCTAAAGCTTTGTCATTATTAAAACCAGATTTGGATGTTTGATCATTTCTTTTTGCACCTTTCATTAATTGCTTTTCTGATTTTCTTTTTCCCTATAATTGATTTACCCTTAATCTACCTATTAATTTATCAAAATAATGTTTTCTGCTTACTTTGATCATTTTAAATGTTTTTTTTTTTTTTATTATTTCATGTATTGTTTTTAACCAATGTAAATTTAAATGATTCCTACATTATCAACCAAAGAGAGCTGCAGCTAGGTTTTAGGGTGTTGACATTCTTCCAGACCGGTGAACAAGCCTGATTCAGATTATTGCGGTTCTCTGAAGCCTTTTTAATCTGTCCTACATTGAAATCAGGTGTGTTAATGCTGGGGAAACACATGCAGGAGTGTGCTTTGAGGACCTGGTAAACATTGTTCTTTTGTTCAGATTCTATCATTCCGGTCGACAATGCCAGAGCTTAAATGACTTACTGATAACTGTGCCACCTGTGATTTTGTTGTCTATGTCTTTTAACCCTTTAAACATCCTTGTTCAACTCCAGCCTGTGGTTTCCTATGAAAATGATCAACCGTTTGGTTGACCAGACTGTTAAAGAGGAAGATAAAAAAAAAAAATCTGTTTAACTGCAATAAAAAATCTGTAAATCTTTTTTTTTCCCTCCCCTTTCTTAACCACAGCTACAAATAAACATTAACTGTATTGTGACTTCAGGGAGAAAACTCCATGAAACATTTTAAGTGATTAGTTGGAAGTAACTATATTTCTACTAAGTTTTAAGATCAACGCTATTGCTAACAGCAACAGAACTTTGCCATTGTTGATTGACTTAAAAAGGAGCTGAACACTCCTACTGACCTAATTTTTTTTTTTTTATCCGATACTAGAGCTTCAGTTGCAACAGTCAACTTGTTAAAAAGCATTTTGATTCTGCCAAGCCTTGAATCTCAATGTTTGCAAAAAGAGCTTAAAGTAAATTAATTTTCACATTGTAAAAAGAGAAAATACAAAATCAAACCTCAAAGCTGTAAATCAAATGTTTATTTTTGTCTATCCACAAGTGTTCTGTCCGCCACAACAATCTCTTTCAGTCAAAGCCTTGGAACCCAATGTCCCAGGGGACAATAATGGTACAAAGTAGAGGAAATGCACACATATAGCCAAACAATAAAAGGAAGCATGACATGGCTGGCTTATTGATGATATTTATCAGGCAAGTGCAGCAGTAAAGGATTCAATACAGTCTGTTTACTTTTTGCATACCATTGGATCAGTCATCACTTTGAAAGTACAAAATTATCTCAAAGCCTTATTATGCATTGAAAAGAGGTTCAAAAGCGTTTGCTAATGGGGGCTATTGTCCCTCAATTGTTCTAAGAGTGTAAGAGTACCAAGAAAGGAACACATAAATTAGTCTGATAACCAAAACTTAACATGTAATACAATACATGTTAATATTTCTATAAAAAAGAAAAAAAAAACCCGGCATCCTTTATTTTATTTATGCTCCACTTTGCATTTATTACAGAATATTATAAAGCCCAGATTTTCTTATTGAAATGCCACAAACACATCCAACCAAACAGTGATGAAAACATCTGAGAGATTTACATGGGAAACAGTTCAATAATTGTATGTTCTGTTAAAAAAAAGAGCCAATCAGGCAACCAGAGACTGGCCAGTTTTTACTTGATTGTCCTTGAAAGTATCGAAAGAAACGTTGAATTTTTACTAACTTATTAATGCATTGATACCTATAAAAATGACTGTCTGCTAGGATTTAATCAGACTATTAGTCATTGTCTGCTGGCTTTATTAGAGAACCCACAACATATTCTGACCCATATTCTGTTATAGACCTTAATGAAAAAAAAAAAAAAAAATGAAACTGGTCAAATTTGGAATCAACAGATCAGGCCTTTAAAGAAAACGATAAGTCCTTTTGGCCCAGAAAAGCTTGATCAGTGAATCTCTAGCGCCATTTGTGATTTAAGAATACAAATAAACATTCTTGGAATTAATTGTGCTAAATATACACAGATTCATACTAAAGTCTACTGCATTTATCTTTTGGTACATATTTCTGCTTGCAATTAAAACTATTTAAACCAGAAACAAAATAAAAAAATTCACATCATTTTCATTCCTATGAGAGAGAAAACAATCCTTCAATCCAGACACAGATATTCTAAAACTTTCCTCTGATTTACAGATTCTGATCAAATAGCTAGACTAGCCCTAGTTCATGTTCTCTGGGATACTGGTAATAACCCAGTGATTAATGGTCCCTGTTTGTAATCAGAGGTAGATTTTACAAGTTCATACCAATCAAAATAATTCCTCTACTTGAAATTAAAAAAGACCTGCTCACAATTGTTGAACTGTTACTGAGCAGCTCATGGAACAACTTTGAGTTTACTGTCCAGTATACTGTAGCTACCTGCATATAGGGGTAGTGAATGCTGCTGGTACAATCTAGTTTCTAATGTGCTCTATTTAAGAGTAACACAATGAATTACACAAACTATGTAGTTAGCAACAAAATAAAACAACCTAAGTTGTTGTTTTTTTTTACATCCAATAAGATGCCTCTGAACTTGAGTGAAGGTGTAGCCATTTTCTACCCTTGATCTTCACCTTCCAATGGTTAATTATTTGAATTTAAAGATATATGTGCTGCACTGCAGTTTTGGCTTCTAGAAAAAGAGCAGGGGTGTGCAAAGTGGGCCTCTGTTTTAGCATTAAACAATCTCTGTATTTCTGCACCACAAACTGTTTTTTTTTTTTTAAAGCTTAGCATTGTCACCAAAAGATGTAGCATCTGGGATAGAAAATCTAAATTGTTATCAAACACCTGGGCTAGGCTTTGGTAATAAATAGCTTAATTCAAACAATCACTGCAACTCATGGGATAATATTTGTTCAAAATAAACAACTATAAAAACTGTTTATTTTGATTGGAAACGTATGGACTATTCTTTCAAACCAAAGGATTACATCGTAATGCAAAATGAAACTAAGCATTCAAATATTTTTATGCTACTTTAAAAAAGGAACAACCATATCATGTGCTAATGGCAAAAGTGGGTTAAATTGAACCAACCAAACTTAAAAAATGTATAAAACTGCCAGCAGCCTTGGTGCTTCTACCTCAGTTACTCTCCTTTCAGATGCCGTTTCAGCACCACCAGTCTCATGCTTTTCCACATCCTCCCAGTCAGAAGCTGCAGGGTAGGCCTCTACCCTTCCACTGTTCACATTCCTGATGAAGGTGGGGGGGGGGCAAGCTGGGCAAGAATACATAAACACATGTATCACTTACCTATGAAACAGGCCTGAGTGATCCTGGTGATATGCACTCAGGTCTCTGCCCTACTGCAGGGAGGGACATTGCTCTAAAGTAGAGCAGCAAAGGAGCAGAAAACAGCTCATGAGGCGATCAAAACAAACGCCCTTCCTAAGAGTTATCAGTGGAGTTCTCGTTACTGGTAGAACCTGAAGACTGAGGGGTAGAGGAGGAGGAGGATGATGAAGATGAGGTAAAGTTCATCCCTGATAGCTCTGGAGGGTTCGTTGCCGTGTTCTGGCCACTTAAGCTCTTCCTGCATACTGGACAAGTGTCATGCTGAGAAAAAAATAATAAACAAGGGTGGTATAGATATTTACTCTTCGTGACCCCATTTTAAGCACCAGCTGGTGAATATTTACAGTAAGCAGAAGAGAAAACAGGGTTGGATGATGTGTAATACCTGTTCCAGCCAAGGGACTATGCAATCATTGTGAAACATGTGATTGCACGGGAGCTGCCGCACGTTTTCTCCAACACTGTAATCTTCTTTACACACTGGACATTCCAGCCTGGAAGCTGAAAAGAAGCGGGTGTTAAAAAGCTAGGTACACATAGGACCCTTTAACTACTATTAGCTGAAATGTGCCAGCAGCAAGACTTTATTAAGAACCACGGTCATTAGAATGCTCTGATCAGGATTTAGAGATTTTTAATAAAATGGTCAGAGTCATAAACGAACAAAACAGTTTTAATGTGCGTCTCGCTCCTGCTTACGAGCAAATACTTTAGGAAATTAGTTGGCTAATGTTAGCATGCTAATCTGGCTCATAACCCATTTAAGTTAGGGCTTGATCATTCGGATAAAAACTCAAAGTTCCCATCTTTTCCAACCAAATCAGATTTTTAAATATAAATGTAAATCCGTTTATTATCCCACAGTGGGGAAATTCACACTCTGCATTTAATCAATCCCCTTGGGGAGCAGTGGGCTGCCCTTCTGTGACGCCCGGGGAGCAGTGTGGGGCTAAGGGTCTTTCTCAGGAACTCAGAGTGGAAGCTGTGGGAATCCAACCAGGTACTTGCAACCTCCTCAGGGCACAAGCACACTGCACAACCACTAGGTCAACACTCCCCATCCATTTTACCCCTTTCCTTCCATATTAAAGAAAATATTTATACTGTATATATGATATTAGGTAAGCGATTAAACCATTATACACCCAAAGTGTTCATAGTTGTGTTTGTGGTAATGCAAAAAAAGATCTTAACTGTTTTAAGGATCAACATAAAAAAAATAAAACTTGCTGACACAAATCAGAGATAGTTCTCTTCATTCAGTGTAGGTAATTATCTGCTTTTTACTTACCAACATGCTCATCATTAATTTGTACTGTGGGAAGACTTTTTATTTTGTCTCCATCAGCAGGCGGTGGCCCTGTGTTCTCAAACTGGTTTAATAACTAAACGGGAAAGAAAAGAAATAAAGAATGCAATTATTGGATGTGAAATATTAACATTAATACACCAGAGCTTACATATTCTTTATTTACTTTATATACCTGTGTAATAATAGTATCAAGTCCATTAGCGCCCCAGGCATAGTCCATTGGATTGGAGTGGAGAACCCCCCTTTAAAAAAGGAGATATTAGAACAGAAAATGGCTGTGATTTAATCTTTAGGTTCTTTAATCCCAGAGCTGCAGACTCACCAGGCTCCAACACCAATGTTTGGCATTGCAGTAGGTGCAATTATTCCATTCACAAGCTGTTGGATGATTCTATGAGAAAATGAAAAGTCAAGTTTTCATTGTTTTAAGAATAACAGAGTAAAGGAGAAAAGAGCTAGAAAGAATGCGATAACCAGCACAAACAACGGTCCACATCATTTACCCTTCTAGAGTAGGAACCCCATCATGTCTTCCCGCTTGGCGCCTTGATCCATGACGACTTCTTGGTTGCCCTGCAGTGTGTCGCTGCCGAGATGACGTCACCCTTTCAGACTGGTTTTCAGCATCCCGACTGTCCTCCGCTCTCAATCCAGGCCCGAGGTCAAAGCTGTCATCAATGACGCTGAAGGATATCTGACCAAAGCCTGAAGGGAATGGAAATAACTGCTGTTCCACATTCTGTCAAGAAGATACAAAAAAATTAAAATAAATGAAACACACAAAGCAAAAGACATTAACTATGAAAAAGAAATCTTACACAGACAAATATAAAGATCATCTATGACGAATGTCAGTAAGCCTAATTTTGAAACTTAAGATTTAAAACTTTATTTTAAAATAAACATAAGGTGCAAAAGCAGAACTGAAAGCTATGACAGCTTCCATCCCATCAAACTCGGGTTAAGCAAAAAATGTCAGTTAATGATGTTTTAAGAAATGGCGACTCTGTTACACAACAGATGGTGTCTAACAGAGTCACAGACCTGAGAAAGCACAGAGATCTCCATGTTTAAGGTAAGAGTCTGAGTAAAGATCAGCTTAAAAACCTCAAATGGTTGTTGGTTCTGGAAGCCGCTGGAGATGTTGGACACGGAACCATTGTCAGCACTAGACAGGGAAGCAGATTGTTGACAAAATTACAAAGGAACTTGGTGATGGGTTTATTTCATTTTTCCACTTTTCAAAAAAATAATCTTTAAACAGGTTTTGCTGGCAATTCTTCCCCAGTAGAGTGATTCACTTATAAAACACAGCTTCCCCAAATATTTCCTTACTCTGAAATGACTCCACAGAGGGGCTGGGCCATTAATCCAACTTCTTGTTTGTTTATGAAGTTTTCATCTTTCCTCTAATGCACTCTTTGGGCTTCCATAGTTAATCACCAATTATTCTTAGGTGTGTACTCAGGCAGATAAACTAGCTCACTGCATAATACCATTAGCTGAATGGTATTATACATTTAGTGATAAATTTGCATTGATTAATGTGAAACATGATGATTTTTAAACTAACAAAAATGCCTTGTCCTATAAACTGCTGATTGAAATAAAATATATCTTTTGAAGGTAATTTATGGCATTTATTATTATGAAATTTAGGACATATAAAAAATAACTCAAGTAGTTAATAAATACAAATTGGTAAGAAAAATTACAGATCAGATCTGAACAGTACTAATTCTTCTTCTTTTAATTTAACATCCAAAGTAAATGTTTTTGATCTGAAGACTCAATTGAACAGAAATGAGAGGACTTGAATTGCACAACTTAAAACCTGGAATCGAAAGAAAATTTACCAGCCTGTTAAGAACCTAGTTAAATTTTATCTCGTTCAATTGTTTAAATTAGGGCTGCAACTAATGATTATTTTGCAAATCGATTAATTTTTTAATAATAATCGGATAGCAAATGGTTCCTTAAAGAAGACTTTTGGCGAAATTAAACCAAGTGAAAATAAACCTTTTCCACTCAAAGAGTTTTGGATAGAGCATATTGACTGACGAAAAGGCTTTTAACTTAAATGCAAAATTTTATATATTTAATTTACAACTGCTGCTAAAGGTGTGTTGCCCTTCAGCTAAAGGCATGTTTTAGTCTCTACACTCAAGTTAACGATTAATCGATTACTAAATTAGTTGATTATTTCAATAATTGATTAATCCAATTAATTGTTTTAGCTTTATTTCAAATAGTTCAATAGTTTGATCAACAATTCAGTGCGCTTTTATTTTGATTAAAGATAAACATTATTTTAGACTCATGAAACACTCAAGTCTAAAAGCGATGTCCTACAAATTACTTTAAAAGTTTAAGGGGTTTCCTCCGATTTGAATATCAGTGATTGCAAGCTGCCCAATAAAATTACATAAAAAATTTAAAATAAACAAAAAGATGTTCTTTTTGAAAAGGACAGAATTATGAGAATCGTTTGATTAGCAAATACAATGATTTAGTCCCACGTTATAACGCACCTTCTTTCTTCCAGTAGCTCCTCAATAAATCCAGACTCGCATTGTGGACACATATACTCCTGAAAAGAGGAACAAATTAAAAAAAAAAATTAAGCAACAAACCTTTTACTGTATAACAGCATATTATGATCAGCTCTAATGTTTATCTAGTTACAATGTTTTTTTTTTTTTTTTTTTACACCAGGTACACAATTTTGGTTTTCAAACGCACGTCCTTTAGCAAACCTGAGCCAATTAAAGACATTTACTAACAGATTATGGAAAACTTATAAGATGGTATGTCAGATACGTTATTGGTTAGAATAAATTCTGAGATATTTACGTACGTCTAATTGAATTCCTTATTAGGATCGATTGTCCCTTCACTATTGCATATATGGATCAAGCATGTTAACCAGCTGTATCTTTTTAAGTTAGCACTTCTTTGTTTAGCCTGTTGCAAGGAAATCTGGCAATGGTGGTACATTGTTTTAAGAAGCAGGTTCTTTGCATGTCTTTAAACTTGCTGTAGCCCAGCTGTAATGTCAATTCACCAGCCCAATGGAAGCATCAGCAGACGTGCTAGCTGCTCAGCTGTGATCATTTGCATATAAATAAAGGATCTAATCAATCAGGGAAAGTTAGATTTAAATGGTAATAGTTAAGCTCGTCTACTCACATCCTGTAGCCCCACTGTATGATAATAAAAGCTCTGAGGGGGGCTAAGAGAGATTTTGATGATGGGCGCAAATGATTTGTCCACGGCATTTACATCCACATCAGACAGAAAGCTTGTTAAAAAGAAAAGGTGTAAAAATGGCAGACACCTTTAACCCAACCCACTTTACATCACCTTCTAAAATCACACATCCAAAGTTTGCTTTTAGGGCCCACTGAGGATGATTGGAACTTTAAAGGACAGTTAAGATAGACTAGACATATAAAAGAAAAAGTGTTTTTTTTTAATAAGGGTTACGGTTGCCAGAACACAAAAAATGGCCCAACTCAGGAAGTTGTGGCATTGACACAGTAATCTGCTTCTAATTTGGTTTTGGTGCAAAAAAATGAAAGCAAGAAACAGAGAAGTCTGCATCACCTACAAAAAACAAAAATCACCTTTAACACAACAAACCCAGAATATTTGGTCAAATAGTGCATTTATAACAAAAGAAAAAAACAACAAAAACAAACAAAAAATAAACACATTCAAATGTAAAAACACATTCACGAACCCACATGCATATTCTGTATGTGTTTGAAGGATATTTATCATCTTATAGGATCAGTATCCAGCTGACAAAGAAAAGTATGGGAACCAGATAGACCAAATTAATCAAACAACTATTTTATCTTCAAAACTGTTTCAAGAATATACATAAATAATATGAAGCTCAAACCGCTGTCAGCTCTTAAATTAATCTCCTTTCAATTTTCAGGAGAAAAGAAAAAAAAAATAAAACAACTAATTTATCAACAATACATACAAACACTAAACAAACTGATATATATATATATATATATATATATATATATATATAAATACATTGTAAATGGTACACTGCAATCTGTCGGTAATGATATGCTTCCTGTGCTTTTCTTAGGAAAAACAGCTTCATTGCCTGTTGCAGGTCCAAGAAAAGCAATTTTGAAAAATAATGTAAGCAGACGATAAAAAGCATTACAAGTAATTTTCAGATTTTTTTTTTTTGGTACAGATTGCATGTCATGTACTGTAGTTCATACCACTGCAGTCAAAGCCCCCATCAACACCAACACTCCTCCTAAAATAGCCAGTAAACTGACTGAATTAATGAGGGGCTTTCTACTCATACAGACCACCCCAAGAGCGCCCCCCCCTCCATAGGATGCACAAACACTATGGATCAAGTGGGTTTACTTTCTGTTTAAAGGTCCACTAATTTACCCACTGAGTCACATCTGCTCCAAAGCAAAAGTAATATAATAAATTAGGAACACCTTAGAGTTTCTACAATTGGCTACGTCAGGACACCAATTGCATCCAGTAGTGCAGTTTTAGCACTAACAACAGGCTACTTAACTATATCTTAAAGATCTTAATTGTTCCTCCTATTAAAACCTAGAATTAAAAAACGTTGATAAAAAGTAAAAGTTACAATCTCAACTCTAAATAGTATTAAAGGGTTTGCAAACTGTTGCGTTTTTGAAAAACTGACCATTAAGAATATATATATTTCTACACATGGTACAATAATTGGCTTTCCTTATCTTGATTTCCCCCCCATGTCATTAAATGAAAAAAAAAAAATCAGAAAATAACTTGGCAATTAAGACATCATACTCACAGAATTTATCTAAATTAAGGGACATGATTAACAGCAGCTTATAAGATGATCTTCCAGATTTTGTTTTTTACCTACATAGTTTCAATTCAATTCAGTTATTTATAGCACCAATTCACAACACGTCATCTCAAGGCACTTTACAGTTCACCAGATCATACAGTAAGATTGATTTAGAGTTTTCTATTTAAGGAAAACCATCTGATTGCATCGACTCATTGACTTGAATGCAATCCCTCACACTAAGCATGCTTGTGGTGACAGTGGAGAGGAAAAACTCCCTTTGATGGTTTATGTATAATTTTTTCTGACTTATCACCAACTCCAACAAAAGGTTAAATCTTATTTTTCAATTTATTGATACAGAGCACCATTGTTGATCCAGTAGGCTGGTAAAGTGGTTGTTAGCTGTATTAATTCAGATCCATCGACTTTATTTCATGCCAAACACTAGTGTTATTTATGTGATCGCGTTATTGGTCCTCTTAAAATAAGAGGTGAACATTTAGCTACAGGAAATAACCAGGAAATAGATAAGTGATGTTTTGAAAAGCAGTGAGAGATTATTCTATTATTCTTATCAAACAGAGAGAAATTCCAGGATTTCAGTTAGTAAATGCAACACCACTAATCCAAACAATTAGCCTGACAAAGACAGACAAAATTAATATTATTCTAAGTCATGTTACACAAGCGGTATTTAAATAAGTTTTGTAATTACGATTGTACTGTTTTGATGTAAGCAGACCCTGACATAAATTCCAGGTGGCGTGAAATGATAAGCGAAGCCTCCCAGGAGGCTGCTAGCACTGCTGCTATGCTAACAGCTGAACCGGAGTATATGAAGGCGAAAACAGCCCCGCTAGGGTTTCCTTCATGTAGCTTTCGTCTTCACTAGTTCATCCCTAGTTTAATACTCACGGGAAGCCGAGGACTGATCTCTTGTGAGCATCTGTGACAAAAGAATCGACTGGGGCATGGAGGAGCTTCAGCCATCTTTAGCTTCTAGACAGGTGAAAAAACGGACTACGGAGCGTCGTGAAGGACAATATTAACCCTTTTGCAAAAGAGGACCTTGTAGAAATGTCTGTATGTAGCCGCATATGGCCCTTTTAAACTTGTTTAGAGATGGTGGTTTCTATATCTAGTGTTACTTAGAAGCAAGGTATGGTAAATTCTATTTTTATATAAAATACATATTTTTAAAAAAAGTTTAAAAAAAATGAGCTGCCCTCAAACAGTTTTCTCACGTCAGGAAAACAAATGATTGCAACATTTGCAAATTCAAACACAAAAAGAATGAATCAAGATTATAAAATTATAAAAAAAAAAAAAAAATGCAAATGTATTTACAGTTTTTGACAGAAATCTGGGCCTGGGTTTTGAGAAATGATTGATCTCAACTATTCAATTGCAGCTCAACCCAAATGTTCATTCACTTTTTTCAGATATAAAAGATAAATAATTCTAGATTAAAAAAAAGTTTAAGCAAGTTATTTAAACGCAACACAATCTGCTTGATTGTTTTATTTCAGATTTCCTTTTTCAATCATAGGGTGAAATGTTAAGTTCGCCCACATGGGGGTGCTGTTGTGTTTTAAATGTGCAGTTGCAAGTTGTTTTGATAACCAGTGTTTTCTATTTGCTTGTAATGTGGCAAAACAAAGATATAAAGTCACATTCGAGTAATAATATGCAAAAACCGTGTAATTATCAAAAAATAATGATGATAAATACAAAAGTATTACCAGTGGAGAGGTTAATATACTGGACCTGAACTGCTGAGTGTTATCTGTGTCCTCAGCATTTCTTCCTACAGGTTTACTGTGCTGCTCTGCCTTGCTTGAAACCCAGAGGTGTGTTTATGCAATTTGGCACCACATAAGATTTATTTTGACAAGTCAGTTTTCCATTGGATTCTTGTCAACCTCTGCCTGAGCCCGACAAACATCTATCAATCTTCTAAAAGTTGTGCAGCATCTGTTTATTAACAATACATCTTGTCAGAGATGGATTTGTATGTTGTCTTTGAGTATTTCACAGGAGTTACTGGAATCTATTTTATCAAGATTCAAACCTGAGCCAACACCAAACAACAAGCTTTTCACATGGGTAATCCTGTCCCCCCCTTTTTTTTGTAAAGGAGGACAGATTCTTGTAGGCGTCTGCCTTGAGGCTCTGAAACAGCACTGAAGGTGTGAGAGATCACGTGGTTACACAAGATGGCATTAAGCATAATATGATTCAGGTTGATTTCAGCTTAGAGTTAGAAATTATTTTTAACTTTGTAAAAGAAATCTGTCTCCAATATATCTTAAGAGTACGTCTCCATAATGAAATTACCGTAACTGTAGGCTGACAGCCAGAAACATTTCTCACAAATCTTGTGTGTTATTGGCAAAACAGTATGACAGAACCTTGGAGTTGTCATTCAGCCATTTTATAGCCTCTCTTTACCTTCTGGGCCTTAATCTGATAGCCACACTTCTTTTATCCTTGATACAGATTGTATTTTTTAATCAGTATCCTTGATTAACACTGCTTTTCATTTCGGCACATATTTGCCTTTACATGTCTTACTTATTTTCAGCCCACATCATGGCCCTGACCATTTGAGATTGTTATAAAGCCTTATAACCCAGAATTAAGTATCTTTAATCGCATAAAAAACATGACAACATTAATTAAATGTATTCGACTTAATACATATAGTGGGGAAAATACGTTTTTAGTCAGTAACAGGTTGTGCAAGTTCTCCCACTTAGAAAAGTGGGAGAGCTTGCACTTTAACTATTAGAGACTAAATAAAAAGAAATGAAGGAAATCCCATTTTAGGATTTTTGAAGAATTTATCTGTAAATTACGGTGGAAAAAAAGTATTTGATCACCACCAAAAAAAGCAAGATGTCTGACCTGTAATTTCTTCTGTAGGACACTCTTCTGTCCTCTATTCATTATCTGTATTAATGGCTCCTGTTTAAACTTTCTATCTTTTTAAGATGGAGCACAATCAGTGGCTGCATAAATGTTTTTTTTTTCCCACTGTAACTTTTGGAGATATGATTGTATGAAGATAATCTGAGTACATCACTTTTCATATTGGACTAACTTCATAGGTTATTATAACATACTTTTTTTATCGAAACCATGCCACTGTGGGTCTTGCTTTATGTTTAGGGTTGTTGCTGGTGAAGATTCTCAGTCATCCAGGTCATAGTAATAAAAAAAAAAAAAAAAGAAAATCCAGTGGATTGTTTTTAATTTTCTTTTTTTTTAATGTTTAGGGTTGTTGTTCTGTCAAAAATGAATCTCAATTTTGGATTAGGACTTGTCATGAGGCAAACTGCAAATTGATCCTCTCAAGACTGCCTTTGACCAATGTTTTTATACTTTTTGCGTTTCCAGGTGGCTAGATAAGATCAGATGTCTCCCAAAACAAATCGCCGTTGATGGGAGGAGGATGCAACTGTTAAAAAAAAAAATTAAAAGAATGATTTAAAAGACATGATCTATCTATGCATGATTGATACCTTTTTGTTGTATTTGTTTGTAAGTTTTGGTCCTTTTTATATGTGTGAAACAAGAGCGGTTGACATTTTAAAGCAACAGAGATTTTTAAAATCAATAGTTGCATGTAGCTAAATTTGGGACAGAAAGCTTGAGTAAGCCTGAGCAACAAAGATATATAATTTTAATGTTAATATTAAAAACACTCCCAGAGATTTTTATATATTGGCTTTAAGTTATTAGTTGTTATCAACTTAAAGCAAATGGGGATAATCAAATATGGAAAGGCAGAATTAGACCACAGTTGGTGTGATTCATGCAAACTAGGTGCTAGGTGATCTGGTCATTAGCTAAAAATAGGAACTCACCTATTTCACTTGGAAATGTTCATCTCTGGCCTTCTTGACGTGATCCACTTGAAGGTGTGACAGGAGATTATTTGTTTTAAATTTGTTTCCAATACAGATAACTTTTTAATGTGCAGCTTTGAAGAACTAATATCTTCAACCACTTGATTGTTTTGCACTGGGCTTGCTGCATATAGGGATTAGCATGCCAGCTGCTTTCTCTTCTTATCCTGCAGCTCCTGGTATCCTCTCTTTCCTGTCCTGTCCTTCGAAGTTAGTTAAAAGCCAAAACCTGAACTCTAACTTCCTTCTAGAGGAGCAGCGAGAAGCTGCAGTGAAACAAGGACAGGACAACAGGAGCGAAGGGCATCAGAGGATGGTAATCAGTCTTTCACCTTTTATCGCTCATAATGAACATAACAGAAAAGAGTGCTTATAAGGAATGTGTAATAAAATCAGTCACAGGATTTTAGAGCCTCTATATTAAGGTTTTGCATATATGAAAATAAATTAAATGTGCAGGACTGCAAAAAAGGATGTTTTATTTGTTATTATACCATGTTTATTGTATATATTTAGTCAAATGCATGCAGGCTAACTGTCCGTACATTTATCAATAAATATATTATAGATTTTAAAAAGTCATAAAATAATGTATTGACATATATCGATTCCCATTGAGAAATGGTCTGATGAAGGTTGATAGCCATTTCTTTTTTTTTTTTTTTTGGAGGGCAAGGATCTTTTTCTCAGTTTGGCACTGCAATGAAATAAAGCGAATCTCCTGAGAGTCAACTATTGAGAAAGTGGGTCTGAAAGAGATTTTCACATGTTGGTCTGGAGAAACATAATATCTAGAATATATCGAGGAAACCATGACAGAATTCTGATGAAATACAATAATGTCTGGCTATGTCTGTCCAACAGGGCTTACAGTGTAAGCTAATTAGAACCTTCACATGCTCCCTCCTGGTGTTGTGTCTGCTCTGACCATGTGGGAGCAACAAGGCTGTGTCTGTCCCATCGGGCTGAGATTAGAACAGGGCTGATAGCTGTGTCTAAAGTTTTTCTCTGTGCCCGGTGCATAACAACAGCTCCCAAATGCTGATTTTAGGAATCGAGTCGTATAAATGAGAAACAGCAAAGCATTTTGTAAAGCTTTCGGCATTATGTAGTTTAACCCACTGCTATACGTAAGAAACCAAAAGGTGTTTAAGCAGAGTGAGCTGCTCATATTGTTTATGTAAGTCGACAAGCTCCTTTAGATAGTGGAATATATCCAGCTTTTGCAACCCGGTTGTCGCTGCTTTCATTCTATTACACTCCAAGGGGAGTAAAGTGTTGCAGACAGAAATGCTGCAATGGACACTGCTCCTTTTGTCACTCTGCAGAGTTTTTCCAGACACTCCAGCCTGTGTTGCCCCATGCTGTCCCCGGTGGGGCCCTGCTTACACTTACACAAACGCACCCACCCACAAACACACACGATCTCAGCAAAAACAGCAGTCTGCTGGAACTTCCTGGGCCTCTTTAGTCATGCGTCACTTGTTTTGAGTCCCACCAAAAGGAGACTCCCCCTCCCTCCAGACACTCTCTGTCTGAAGCCATGTGTCACAAGACCTGTGCATCACACACATACAACACACACACACACACACATTTAGATCCTTGCTCAAGAGCAAGAAAGCACGTGAAGATAAACACTTTTGAAGGTCAAAGCTGTATTAAGAAAATAATATCTATGGAAATGTGTATCCTCATACAAGAATCCCAGCAGGTATCTCCTATGTAAAATGTTTTCCTACTCCTCTTATTTCCCCACAATCTAAACCCTGTGGCATGGCACTGGTACGTAAATGTTTTGGATTGCATCACCGAGCAGCTAACAAAATATTCATGTTGATGGAAGAACATAAGTGTACAATTATATACAGGTGCTGGTCATAAAATTAGAATATCATGAAAAAGTAGATTGATTTCAGTAATTCCATTTAAAAAGTGAAACTTGTATATTATATTCATACATTACATACAAACTCATATATTTCAGATGTTTATTTTGTTTAATTTTGATGATTACAAATGACAACAAATGAAAATCTCAAATTCATCATATCAGAAAATTAGAATATTGTGAAAAGGTTCAAAATTGATGGCCCCTGGTGCCACACT